TCGAATTCTGAAGTTTATCAATCCTTCTGCGACACCTGTGAAAATTTAAAAAATACTTACGAAAATACTAAGTTTATTATATATGGAGATTTTAATCTTCCAGACATTCAGTGGTATTTAGATGATAATGTACTTGTCCCCAATCGAGTTCCGACGCAGTCGGCTGCAGTTTTAGTTGAATCGATGTTTTTTCTCGAGTTTCAGCAATTGAATTCCATCCGTAACAGCCGTGGAAGATTCCTGGACTTAATTTTTGCAGACGATTTTAATGACATTTCTGTAATAGAATCTCAAATGCTTTTGTTACCTTTAGATTCTTACCATCATCCTGGTTTAGAAACAATTTTAAGTTTTAGTTTCACTAGCCCTTTGATAATTAATCATGAGCTATTGATATATCAGTATCCTCAGGCAGATTTTAATAAACTTAACTTATATTTGGTCCAAACTGATTGGTCATTTTTATACAGTACTGTCGATCTCGATGTAATGGTGGATATGTTTTATAAACACCTTTTTAAGGCCATTGACTTATATGTTCCTAAAAGAAAAATAAAAAACCAAAAATATCCAAAATGGTATGATGGCCCTCTGAGAAAACTAATATCTGGAAGAAACAGAGCATATAATAAATTTAAAAGGACTGGATATGCTTCAGACTACAAAACATATTCCGACATTCGATGTGAGGTAAAATATCGCATTGATCTATGCTACCTTACTTTTGTTGGCAATATTGAACATGTAATTCCTGAAAATGTAAAATATTTTTGGACATTTATTAATAGCCTATAACGTACAGAACATATGCCATCTATCATGAAATACAACAATGATACTTTAAAAACACCTTTATCTATCGCTGATACTTTTGCACTACATTTTGAGTCTTGCTACAGTAACCACAGCACTTTTGACTTAAATCACTTGGAATCAGTCAAATTTGGTTCCCATCTCTCATTTCACATCTTTAAAGAAGATGAAATAAAGAAGAAAATGTTGGATCCCGATCCTTCCAAAGGTTCTGGTCCAGATGGAATACCACCTATCCTTCTCAAGAAGTGCCCTGCTTTATCTACACCACTGTGCACAATTTTCCAGAGATCATTCGACAGAGGATATGTCCCGTCCAGATGGAAATATTCTAACTTGGTTCCAATTTTTAAGTCCGGGGATAAAGCAGACATAAAAAATTATCGAGGCATTTCTATGCTATCAGCAATTCCTAAGCTGTTGGAATCAATCTTAACAGATGAATTATTTTACACGTTTAAGAATTACATAATAGATGAGCAGCATGGCTTCTACAGGGGCCGTTCAACAACTACTAATCTGGCTATTTATCAGGAGTTTATTACCTCTTCGGTTGAAGCTGGTTACCAAGTTGAACACCGACCTCTCTAAGGCGTTCGATAGTGTATGTCAGCAGTTACTTTTAAAGAAACTATCTGAAATTGGGATAACAGGCAATTACCTTAAGTGGATTAAATCCTATCTTATTAACCGTCGGCAGCGTGTTACAGTGAATGGTTCTGTGTCGCGGGAAGTGACAGTGTCTTCGGGTGTACCCCAGGGTTCACATATTGGCCTTATTTTATTTTTGTTATTTATAAATGATGTAGTGTCCTGTTTTAAAAATTCTCATTGTCTCTTATATGCTGACGATTTAAAATTTTTTAATTATAACGCCCTACAGTCTGATTTAAATCAATTTGTCTCTTGGTGCAGTTCTAACTATTTAGAACTAAAAATATCAAAATGTAAAGTTATATCATTTTACAGACGTTCTAACCCCGTCGAAAACTCATACATTATTAATAATACTACGCTGGAGAGCCTCTCCACATTTAATGATTTAGGGGTAATATTCAACAGGGAATTATCCTTTTCTTTACATGTTGATACTATCATTCTGAGGGCGTTTAGGCTATTAGGATTCATAAAAAGAAGCACAAAGCATATACAAGACACTAAAGCAATAACATGTTTGTACAGTGGTTTGATCCGAAGTATTTTAGAGTATTGCAGTACTGTTTGGTCTCCGTCACAAGCTATTTATGTCAACCGAATTGAACGAGTTCAAAACAAATTTTGTAAATATTTGCTATTTAAATTTCACTTTCCATATCGGGATTTATCGTATGAAACGAGACTGCTACTCTGTGGTATGCAAACTCTTGAACGGATGCAATGTTACTTTTGCTCTACAAAATAATTAACGGAGACATTATTTGTGAAAAATTGTTATGCCAAGTAAATTTCGTTGTTCCGTTAAGGTATACTCGACAGTCACAACTATTCTTTGAGAAAACCCATCGTACAAACTATGGACAAAGAGCTTTCATGAATAGGCTTTTGTGCAAATATAATAAGCACTATTCTCACTGTGATATTTTTAATTGTACGTTATTATCTGTTAAGAGGATGCTCAAATTTTAAAATTTTAGGTTGTTTCTTGTCTTGTATGGTGTTAGACTTTGTTTTTTAGACGTTAAATGTATTTTAAAATTTCTGAAGAGTTTTGATATTTATATATTCGGTTTTTTTTTATTTGTATATACTTATACTTTAATTGTTGTTTTAGCTTTAAGACTGTGCCATTTGGAATTCATATTTCTGTAGTGTACTTAAGACAATAAATAAATAAATAAATAAATTGATAGGATCCTTTAGTCTACTAGAATTAATAATGTCCGTTTTCTCTTCAACATTTCTACTTGAAAATCCTTTTTTCAATAAAGAGCACACAATACAGACACAATTTACCACATTATTATTGCTCACAGGCACAGTGCATAGTTCCTCCATTTTATAAAAAGAAAAACAACTACGAAAAACAAACCGAAATCTATCTGAAGTCTACGATTTTCCTCACTATCAGTTAAACAATTTAGTAGTTTGTAAAGAAATATTACATTACTAATATCTCTTCGATATTTAAGTTTGATTAGGCTGAACTCTTTTCTAATGTGATTATATGATTAGTGAATTGTTATGTTCTGCATTAAATTACAATAAGTAACTGTTTTATATATTGTAAGGTGGGAGGGCATTAAAATCAAAAGTAACGCAAATATATTGCTGAATTCTTCATAAAATTACCTTGTCAATGATGTGTAGTACTTGGTATTGGTTAGAGCAGCATTTCTCGAACTTTTTTGACTATGGAACCCATTTGAAAAGCGAAATATTTGACGGAGCCCCAATATAATAAAGTTTTTTAAATCTTATATTGGTTTAGATAGTTTTAATTTTACTTTGCAACCCCAGGGCATTTCTAAAAAAAAAAATCCTCAAGCAAAATCAGATCCTTTCTTAGTGAAATAAAAAAAAAAATGACATATAGCAGTTGAGAATATGTTAGAAAGGTGTAATAAAAATCGACCAGTTTCAAGTAATTTTTGATATTTTCTTTTGTTCAAGAGATATTACCCATTGTAAGTTTTTAAATTGACACTCAGTATGTCCGTACTTGTTTATTTTTCTGTAAATTTCATTTTTTTTGCTGCCGTGTCGTATAATGGAATTGTGTTGTAAACTGATATTTTTGGCATCGGCTTAACCAATCAGTTTCATATTTGCCTAAGGTTGGCATTATATCCAAAGACAAATCGTCGGTTGAGAAGAAAACTATCCTAATTTTTTTTTTTTTTTTAATAAGTTATTGACATAATATCCTAATAGACCGTCAGATAGTGACCGATTTAGTTGCCCCATTTTCGCATACAAGCCTCTAAGAGGGTTTAAAAGTACATCTATTTTTAATAGAATAAAAGGAAATTAATGAGTGACTCTTGGAGATAAAATATGGAAAATTCTATTTTCCTTAACAGAAATATTTTCGGACCCCAAAATGTACTTATCCATTTGAGTCACTTATACATTCTAAGGGTTAGTGTGTAAAAATCGGTTAAAATCTCAATTTTTTCTTTCAAGATTACGCTCTTATTTCAACCTTTTAGCCATTTGAATCATAAAAGCCTTTGGTTTTCGAAAGCTTAGTTCTATTAGTTGATCGTTTAGTGAACACGGATTTCGTGAAAATATGGGTAACAAATACATTTTAATTTCTGTTAAGGAAAATCGAAATTTCCATATGTTATACCCAAGAATCACTCATAAATTTCCTTTTAGTCTACTTCAAATCGATATACTTTTCAACCCGCTTCGTAAGGGCGACTCCAAGACGAATTTTAAAGGGTGATTATCTAGTTATTGATATATGCTTCATAGAAACTTATGAAAGGGTAATAGAAAGATAATGTTTATCTGATCTTTATTATATATTTTGTGAGTGAAAATGGGGCACTTTAACCTGTCACTATCTGACTCTTTATAAGTCCTATTTATTTGTAGCTTATGCAATACTATCCAATGTCCTAAAAAAACATATGGGAAACAAAAATTGCATAGAATTGTCTTCGTTATAGGGCAATAAAACTTTTAAATGCGTAATACTCAAAACTAATAGAAAAGGACTTAGTATTCTTCTCAACCGACGAAAGTATGTTATGTTTAGGATAATGTACGGAAGTCCGAAGTAGAAATTATTAGACCTTTTCATTAAAAGAATACACTAAATCCATTTCGAGTTTATTCCATTATAGAAAATATCTGATGTGTTCTAAACATTATTTCTTAAAATTTCTCCAATACCGTTCATTTTAGGAAAACCATTTATCCAATAAAAATTCTAGAGAATGATGTCAAAAACAACTCATATTAGGGAATTTTCATAAATAACAGAAATGTGCATTAAATTAGACAAATTCCCCCCTACAAGATACCCCCTAGATGCTCCGACTATGTCCAAAATCTAATTAATTAATCGAAGCTTATGTTTAAGATTTGGCGTTTTTCTCTTTATCCGTTTTTTAATTATTACAGACAGTTTTTTGTTTTTATTTTCGATTATCACAAAAGTATAACTAACTGTATGTTTCAAATAAAAGTTTAAAAAGAAACGCAAAAACATTTTTAAAAAAATCGCTCCCAAACAGTTTCAGGAAAGAAATCTACCACCTCCAATGGCGTATCTAGGAACAACTCGAGGTACGTCAAAAATAATTCGATAACGCGCAGCAGATCGACCACGGTGCTGAACCAGTCCGATTCCGATCCGGAAACGCAAGAAAAGAAGGTTTCGAGATTGATGAGGCCGACCATCAGTTCTCACAACAAGATCAATAACAAATCTTTACAAATCCGAAAGAAGCATTCTTATTCTGCCAGTAAGTATTCCGTCTGCTAAAATTTAGGATCAAAAAACTATTATTATGTCGCTTTAAGATCTTCGTGCATTTTTTCCATTCAGAAGAAAATAACCTAATTTTTAGAAGTATTTTCTGGTGTTGAAAATCGCTTGAACACTCAGTTTATTAATTAGAAAATAAACAAAATCAATACCACATAGATATTAGTTAAACAATTTTTAAATGGCCACCGATTTCATGCCTAAAAGAGGAAATAAAAATGAAATTTCAATAAGGTCAAATCCATACATTTTTGGATTTGGCATCTTATCCCCCTGTTTTATAGTTTTCTTTTATATAATCTTAGATTAAAGATGCCGGAGATGTAACATTGCACACTGCATATTGTCTATTTCAACCTTAAGTAACCCACCAATTAAAAATCATTGTTTCCACGATGCCACCCGAATTGCAGCGACATTTCTATTCCACGCTCATCTCCGCGTGAGTTGAATCATCATGGACCGCCGTTTTTTGAATTATTGGTTGGTGTTATTAGCAATTTAAAGTATTTTAGTTACTCAATTTCAAGTTAAAAATGCCGATGTATCGGGAAAAATTGTATATACTTGCCAATGTTATGAAAGATAAGAAATATAGTCGATTTCGGCGGTAAATACTCGTATTTATTAATGTTTTGACATGAAGTTGCCATGATCCTTTAGGCTAAATACTTCAGATCCGCATTAAGGGATTTCTCTAAATATTTCAGAAAACAGATGTCATACATACATTTAGGAAAGGACAAAAATTTTAACATACAATTTAGTCGTATGTAAATAAGAAGTAAATAGCCACTGTTGCTACCGAAATTTTTGTTTTTAAAAAGTAGTTTTATAAGAATATTTATTGAAGGTAGTTTTTAGCCCTTTTTGGTACGTAAATAAAAAGTAAAGACGAAATTTTATTTTTATAATGTATTTTTATAAGAATATTAGATAAAATACAGGCTGACCTACTTAAAATTTCTAAGTTCATCTTATTACCAGTCTAATCAGAAGTGAAATTTGAACCTTAGGTCTAAAAACATAGTAAAACGTTCAATGTGATCCAGTATCAGAGTTTGGTAGTATCTAGATACTTCTGTATTCGGATACAGTATCCGGATACTTTATATGTATCCGACAAATTTTGGATCCGGTATCCGTGGCCAAATTTGTAAGTATCTTTTTTTTAATGTTCGGATACTTTTAAGTTATTGTACAAACGTATCTCAAATCATATGTACCATAATCGTCACTGATCATGTGATCTTATAACTTTTTTATACAGCAATTTCATCATTTCTATATCCAGTCCATGCTATCTTTAGAATTGAAATATTTTTGTATTTACCTTTTTAATAACCCTGTATAATTGGAAATTAAATAAGTATTTTGTTAATATTACAATATTTAAGATCCAGCGGCAATAATTAACCCTTTGAGGACAGAATTAATTTTTTTGAAAAAAACTACTTCAAATCATTAAACTTTTATTCATTACATTCTTTTGACCTAAATACATATAATTATATGAAGGTCCTTGTGTCCTGCAGGATGTGGTCTTCGTTACTAACCATCAGGCACTTCGGCTACTTAGAGTGAAATGCTGTAAAACAATTTCTTTCTTTGTTGAGGCACAACTCCACTTCACAACTTGCACATTTTCAAATTGTTCTATGTACGTCTTTTACGGTGCTACAATGTGCACACCTAAGAGAAGTAGAACGCTGAGGTAAATGTGCACATTTGTCATATCTGACTTCAAATGGCACACTTTTTTTAATGATAGGCGAAATGTTTTTAAATTTATTGTTTTCGTAGGCGTTCTCTACTGGTACAATATACAGGCGTTCATCACATAGGCATCGACAAAATACCAGAAAATCCTGTCACCATTTATGTGACTTTCGATCTATTTCATGTATTGACTTCAACAAATCGAATTTGTCGACATACCCCATATGTTTATTGTAGTCTTTTACTAAGCGAGGACAATTTATTTCTTCTGCAACTCCAATTTTTGTCTTTCTTGATACTTTTTCCACTATTGAAGGGTTATGATAATTTCTCAAAAATTGGACTGTGCGTTTATCTTTTCACTTAAATGCAGCCACGCGATTCCTGGAAATTTTCCAGTCAGACTCTCCTCTTTGTAGGATTTTGTCACTTTTAAAATCAGGCAGATTTACTCTGTCACGACGAACAATCCCACAAGAGTAAATTTTTTCCTGAAGAAGATCTTGCTGTAGTTCTACAGAATTGAACTGCTTTATCAACTTTGTCGGTATATAGCTGGAATTCACACGTAACCGGTGACATCGGCTCGTACCCAAAGTTTGTATCCACGTTTAGTTGGCTTCTTTGACATATACTAACGAATGCTACTACGTCCCTTGAACTTAATCATAGATTCGTCAATTGATTGGTAATCGCTGGGATTCATTCATTCATTCATTCAGAAACGTTTCAAACAATTTATTCAATAACGGTCCAGATTTTATACAATCTGTCAAAACCTGGTTCATTTCTCTTGCGTTGCAGGAAATTGTCATTGAGATGCAAATTACTAAGCAGCCAGGAAAATCTATCTCTTGATATTGCGGAACTTATATATGAGTCTCTTAATTCTGGTCTGGAAGACCAGTAATCGCGATAACTAGACATTTTTTTCAAATACATTAGCATATTTACACCTAGAAATACTTTGATTTCAGACTTATTGGTTTGGAAAAATGTTTTTTCACAATATGCTTGTAAAACATACAAATTAGTGTGAAATACTATACGGTCCATTAGATCTTCTGGGACTAAATGAATAAACATATCGAGTGGAGTTTCCACACTTTGGGACCTGTCTGCTCTATAAAAGGATCTACATATGTGTAACAAATTTGTAGTTGTCCAGGAAATTCTATTGTCATATAACTTTTGCAGAAGTATAGACAATGGAATGTCATCAACAGGGTCACAGCCATTCTCTTCCATTCGGTTGTCAGGTTCAAAATCGATCTTCATCAATTCTATGTCAAATAAATCTAGATTTTGGTCAACATTCTCGGTTTGTTCCTCATTATCGGCAATAATAGATTCATTACCACTAGGAATTTCTTCGATCAATGTTCAAATTTGATTTTGAGACATCTCTGTAACGTTTACACACTTTTCATTAGCTAAAAAATATGTATAATATCAGCCTAGTGGTTACCAACAGAGACCACAAACAAAATATGGTCACCGGAACAAAATATTTTAAAATTTCTATTCAATAATACTAAAAATGCATTTGTTTGACTATAATGTATAACTTACCTGCCATTTTCCAAGAATACTTGCATTAATATCTTAGAAAACACACTAAACCGGGAGTCTAACCTATAAGTATTAACGTACACATCAAAATCAGAAAACGAACTAAATACCGCATATCGAATGAACGGCGTTAGCGAACTGGTGAAAATAGGTACAGGCAACACATTATACATCATGGTAGACGCGAGAAACCAGTAGGCATATCGGAATAAAATTTTAAAAAGGTGGGTTACTCCTACTAACCACTGGTCTTCAAAGGGTTAAATGAAAAATAGTAAAAAAGAATTAGTTTATTATGATTTGTATTTTTCTTCACTCTAAAAAAATTAAAATATCGTGTAAACAATAATTATTTTTGCAATGACGAATTCAATGTTTCATCCAGTATACAGACGGTCGGGATTCGGCGTCAAAGGATCTCACTAGCAAGTTTTTAAAGGAAAAAGTCTGCAAAGTCTTGTCTACTGCTAGGACCTCACGAACTTGTTTTTAACTCTATTGGTAAATTTATCAAAAGTACAAAAGTTCGAAACTATAAAAGTTCGAATGACAAAAGTTTGAAAGTGATAAAAGATCGAATCAAAAAAAATCGAAACAAATGATCGAAACTAAAAATTATACATTACAAATGAATAAATGAGTTTTTTTTTTAATTTTTCTCATTTTATATACATTTTTTTGCGAAGCAACCTGCAATGGCTCCATGCCGCACAGGTTAGATAAATTAGTTGTTTTTTTTTTTTTTAATTTTTCTCATTTTATGTATAATTTTTCTGCGAAGCAACTCGTGTAGGCTCTAGGCCGCAAAGGTTAGATAAATTATGAAGATTAAATAATTATTTTAGTGCTAACGGAATTAATAAGGAACAAAAAAACGTGCAATTTTTTTTTCAACTCATTATCAGAAGACTCTTACTTACCGGTTAATGTACAATTTGTGCCTGCCAGAAAAACCCGAAAGAGAAAAATTTTAAAGAATCGTTGAAAGTATTTGATAAACATTTTGTCGGTCAACTATCCGTTTTTGCAGATGGAGAGCTTCACATTCAATCGGAATGTGAATGGAGGTTTCTTCTTCCTTCTCATCCTCACAGTATCTGAATTCACTATCTTCTTCTACTCTCAGTTTACAGAGGTGTATTTTGAGTCGGCAATGACCAGTAAATATCCCTGTTACAATGAATAGCATGTTCTTGCTGAGGCATATACAAACTTCCGATCTTTTGTGGTTATATTCACCCAGAAGTATCTTAGACTGTCTTAGTACCAAGAGATTGTTCCAATTATCGGTTCTTCTACTGTCCAATTTTTTTAATCTCACCTAATATGGTGTTACTGCTAATACCGCAGAACGGATCAGGTCTCATAAAAAGTTTTTGAGTCCCTTTCCTTGCGAGACTATCTGCAATCTCGTTACCCTTTACCCCGTTATGTCCCGGGACCCAAGTGAGGGTAACTCGCCTAGCTCATTCAGTTTTTCTAGGCATCTCCAGAACTTTTTTTTTGAGCTAATTATGTAAGAGCTCACCGCTTTGATGGCTGCTTGACTATCGGGCATGATGATAATCTCTTGTCTGTGATAGTTTATCGCAATGTTAAACTGGATACACTTTTCAAGGACGTAAATTTCCCAAACTTTTAGAGTGCCTGGTTATAGACTCGCACACTCCTATTCCAGTTCCTTCTATAGTTTTGGAACAATCCATATACCACTGAATAGCATGTCTTCTGTGTGTACTTCTTCCTCATTTCATCCTGGGGCATTTCCCAAGTATCTTCGGTCTTGAAACTATTAGATTATATAGAGGGGTGAGGTTTAAGATCATCTCCATTGTGGACGGTGCGGCAGCCAGGTTCTCATTGCACCGGTGATGCAAATACAGGCTAGTCTTTATACTATTGAGATATTAGCTCTCGTAGTAGCTAAATTAGTTCTGTTACTCCAGGCTACAGCCCCGTAAGTGATGATTGGTTTCACTATTGCTGTATACATTCATCGCAGTGCGTTTGGGTTACATTCCCAATTTTACCCGCAATGTTCTTACATACCTTTAGGGCTTGTTTGACCTTATTTATTACTTCCTTCTCATGTATGTTCCAGAGAAATTTGTTGTCCAGGGTTAGACCTAGATATTTAACTTCTTTTTTCCATTCTACATCTATCTCTTTTAATTTTCAGTCAGGTGTATTTTCACAACATTTGTATTGACAAAACATCTTTTAAGCTACTGGAACAGTTCCTGTACGAATGGAAATATAAAATAAGTTTCCTTGTCTTGGGATCCACTATACTATTTCAACGAGTAGTTGTTTAGTTTTAAATTGTGTTTTAATTTTATTTGCTGTGTAGAATTTTGGGTTGCTCAGATGGTAAAACCTGAACAAAAAATTTTTTGTTTTAACCTTTTGTGTTGTTTTATATGTATTTTCAGCCTTGATAAAGAAGTAAAATTATAAGGCGTTAAAGATTCTTGTTGACACGTCCTCTTCCCATTAACCTCATCCATATTCTTTTATATTAAAAGGGAGCATATTCATATGCATAAATATTTTGTTAAAAACACTACGTTTTTACAAAATACATAATTTTTTCTGTAATATTAGTTTGTTTTGCCCTTTTTGGCACAAGAACTAACAATAATGTATTCTTTACATTCTTTTTAGCAAATTGTAATTGATATTTAAAGTAAAAAAATAGTACTATATTTCTGTAATTGTAGACGAAAACTGATTAATAAATTTTCAGGTAATTTAAATACAGTGGGCACGACAGACAACATATCAACTTCTGATGAAGATTCTCCTACCGCCCCTCCCAGAAGTAGAACGCTGTCTTTCGAAAACGGTCCACCTGCGATTACTCCTAGACGACACTTGAACAACAAAGAGAAAAATCGACGTATGTTTTTTTAATTCTATTATCATATTTGCTAACCATATATATTTTAATAAACATTTCATTATTAACCGTGTTAGGTGAATCACTAGTTAAAATTAAAAATTATCGTAAATGTTAAAACTGAAATGCTTATACATATTGAAAAGTGAGATTTTCAAATTCTAATAAATTCTCCTTATTCTCCTTATTATGTTTTCATCGAACAACAGTATAAAATGGATTGTGGTTCCCTATAATTACATTTTTCTTTTTCCCTTATCCTATTAAAGTATTGGATTTATTTCTGTTTTATTAATCTTTTACTCATTTCCTTAATTCTGTCTATAAATATCATGTATTCGGAGCTGTGAATTTTGATGAGACCCTCAAAAAAGCTATTAAAAATCATTATTAAACATTCCAAACAAATGAAACGCGCTGCTAAGGTTTGATATATCTAAAGGGTTGCGACACACGATGTAGTCCATCTACAATACGTGAAATCATAAATAATGAATTATTAAATTTAAATATTTTATATTGAATATAATAAAAATAATATCTTTTTAAAAACCGCTCATACATTTTCTATAAATTGGCAAGCTTGGCGACTACTATTTCAAATAAAAATAGCGTCCAAGATGGAAGGCTATGTCGCAACCTCCTTAGATTTTGCGAGCCCTTCCCGCTGGCAGCTATTGTTTGACAGGTCGTTGGAATGCTTGATATACTATACATAAATAAGCTTTTTGTAGGTGTCACAGGTGTCATTTTAAAGGATTTATAAGCTAAAATTAAATACAAAATGTTTTTTTTTATTCTACCTATCAATCGTTACATAATGGCTCTTATTTATTTTGTATTATTTTCAAAAACACCATTTTACTAAATACACACAACCAAATTTATATGGAATTACTGTGTATTTCTGAATAAACTTTTTGTAAGGAAAAAATTTTATATCCAACTTTAAGATAAGGCTTTTTGTTCAAAACAAACATTAGTCGCGTCAAAGAAGGTTTTCACTTCGAACTTTGGTCGGAAAGGTCCAATCGGGCTGATTTTTTTTGCAAAATGTTCATTGAGACATGAGATTCAAAGTTCACTAAAATCTAGATGCCGCTCGGCCTCCCTACCCCCAAATTCACCCCAATTGGGGGGAATTCTCGGCTTTTTCAACAAAAGGCGCATACTTCATAAAACTGCAGTCCCAAGCGGGGTAAATGTTCCACTCGGGGGTTTTAAAGTACCCTGAATCCATTATTTGGGTCAGGTCGCCTTTGCGACCTTCCCAGGGGTGGGTGACAGGGCCACTGGGGGTCCAATATACTAGATGTCAGTGGAAATGTATTTGGGCTCGCAAATTGCGCTAGGGGAGTTTAGAAGGACGGAGATCTTAATGTCATCGAGAATTAAGCCTTTTCAAGCCCTCAGGGTCGTATAAAAAGGGGCCCATGGGGTCACAAATATCATGATCACGCGGGATTGAATTTCAGGACACAGAATTGGTACGCGTTAGTGTTATAAAACAAAAATAAATTTGGGCAGCCTGTCATCCTGTGACCCAACCAGGGGTGTTCGAGGAAACTTTGTGTGCGTGGTGAGGTAGAGAGGGGCAAAGGGTGTTTGGAAAAAATATTAAAAAAATTATTCGTTTGTAATAAACCATCGAAAAACAAAAAAAAAATTCAAAACGTCATAAAAAAGTGACAGTTGACAGGTGAAAAATTTAACACCAATTCGGGCCACCTTGGATATCTAGGGCATCTACCGCTGACATAATCGCCTTTCCCGAGTGCACCCAGTTCCCACAAAAGGGACCGATAGCCCAAAAACACGATTTTAGGTAGTTTTTCGCTGTTACCATGGAAACGGCCAAACAGATTTTGACGCCGATTTTTTTTAAAAAGCATCTCACGGGTCTACATCTTCGAGCCAAGTTTTATCGAAATCGCTTTAACCGTTCGGACGCTACGATTTTTTAAAGTCGCTCGGAAACCCCTCATACGAAATTTGGCCGAAAAAAACTGGCGCCCGAGGAAATTTTTGTGTGCGTGATGAGGTAGAGAGAGGCAAAGGGTGTTTGGGAAAAATATTAAAAAAATTATTCGTTTGTAATAAACTATCGAAAAAGCAAAAAAAAAATTTTCAAAACGTCATAAAAAAGTGACAGTTGACAGGTGAAAAATTTAACACCAATTCGGGCCACCTTGGATATCTAGGGCATCTACCGCTGACATAATAGTCCTTCCCGAGTGCACCCAGTTCCCACAAAAGGGACCGGTAGCTCAAAAAACACGATTTTCGGTGCATTTTCGCGGTTGCCATGAAACCCACCAAAAAGATTTTCACGCGGAATTTTTTTTAGAAGCGTCCCATGGGTTTACACCTTCAAGTCAAGTTTCATCGAAACGCTCTACCCTTTTCCGGGAGGATCAAGAGTGTATAACTCTGATAAAGAATTGCAATTAAGAACCTTCAAGATTTCGTGTGATGTGATGGCCAAGTGCCCCAACCCTAAACATCGAGATAATATCCTTGTTGATCTGGGCATGTCGTTGTATTGACTGAGATTAAATGCCACTCGAATAAACCATTGGTTAGCTACCTGGTCTGCGCAATTATATGAATTTTATATAATGAAATCGAATCAAATCGAGTCCCAGGGGAAACTTGATAGTTTCACCTCCTCAGCACCCTCGTTCGTGGAGCTCTGGAGTCGCCTGCTTGCAAGCCAGGGCAACATAAAATTATACTCTTACAAACCCTCAGCATACCAACTTTGTAGGAGAAAATGGAATTTTACGAGAATTTAAATTTGGGGCCCCTTGGAACCTCTATCGCTCATACCTGGGTTCGTCAGAGACTCAAAAAGGCCAAGGAGTATACTCGCTGGCGGAATTATATCAATTTTACATGTTGATATCAAATCTCATATTTTGGGCCCCGGCACCCCATTCGGACACCCCTGGTTGGGTCACAGGATGACAGGCTGCCCAATATAGAGTTTGTAGTTTTCCGAGCTGCAAATCAATAAGACAGGAACCAAAATAATAAAATTAAAAAATAACATTAAATACCTAGGCGTAACTATAGATTCCCACCTTAAATGGGACATACATATAAATAACATCACAAATAATTTAAGACCCTTATTATATAAGTTAAAATACATGAAAACTATTCTAAAACCGGCATATCTTAAAATAATGTATCATTCACTTGTTGAATCCAGAATCAACTATGCTATCTTATCATGGGGTTCTGCTTCAAAAACTCATCTGAAAAAATTAAAAGTAATACAAAAGAAATTCTTAAAAATAATTTATAATAAAAATAATACTTACCCATCTAATTCTCTATTTAAAGAAACATCACTATTGGATGTTAGACAAGCATACTTTTTCAATGTCGTTATATATATTTATAAAAATAAATCCATAATTCAAACAATTAAACATAATTATAATACCCGATATAGACTTGAAGAGAATACCCAAATTGCTCTAAGAAACAAGACCATAGGACAGAGATCATTAAATTTTTTAAGTACCGTAATCTACAATTTTTTGCCGAACGTGTATAAAATATATTTAATATCAATCAATTCAATAGATCTTCTAAAATCATTTATTAAATCATTTATTTTAAATGTTGAAAGGTCCATTATTCATTCTCTAATTGAAAGAGACATAAATTAATTAGAACTAAAAAGTACAATAATATCTAAAAAAAAAAAAAAAAAAAAAAAAAAAAAAAAATTGAATTTAAATAATGGAATTAAACAAGAAAACTCGCGCGCAACCTGTGTAGGTCATAAGCGAGTCGTACGGTGGTCCATGTTTATTCGATAAAAATTTGTTAATTAAATTATATATATTTATTTATTTGTATCTGATTGTATTATCATTATCTTGTTCTTGTAAAACACTATTTCTTTTTGAATAAACATTATTATTATTATTATTATTATTATTATTATTATTATTATTATTATTATTATTATTATTATTATTATTATTATTATTATTATTATTATAACATTATCGCGAACCAATTATGTGCCCTGAAATTCAATCCCGCGTAATCATGAAATTTGAGACCTCATGGGCCCCGTGTATACGGCTCTGATGGTTTGAAAAGGCTTAATTCTCGATGAAATTGAGACCTCCGCCCTTCTAAACCCCCCTGACGCAACTTGGCAGCCCAAACACATTTCCACGGACATCTTATATTTTAGACCCCCAGACGCCCTATCACACACCCCTGGGAAGGTCGCAAAGGCGACCTAACCCAAATAATGGATTCAGGGCACTTCAAACCCCCCGAGTGGAACATTTGCCCCGCTTGGGACTGCAGTTTTAGAAAGTATGTGGCTTGTTGAAAAAAGCCGAGAATTCTCCCCAATTGGGGTGAATTTGGGCGGGAGGGAGGCCGAGCGGCATCTAGATTTTGGTGAACTTAGAATCTCATGTCTCAATGAACATTTTGCAGAAAAAAATTGCCAAATCGGACCTTTCCGACCAAAGTTCGAAGTTTCTGCGTTTTTAGTCCTACTTTTACGCGAGTACATGATAATAAAGAAGAAACGACTGCTGCGATTTATTATCTTGTGAATTTTGTATTCAGAAGTAAAATCACGGTCCTTCGGTAATTTTATTTCTGTCCAAAAAACAAACAGAATGCCTTATGTTGGTCTAACAGATGTGCGGAGGGAAAGAATTATTGCTCTCAATGAACAAGTAATGTCCCAATGAGACATATCGGAGGTAGAAGGCGATACTCAGGGTGTTGTATCGAAAACATATGAAAGGTACTTGGAACTCTCAAAGAACAGGCCCATACAAAGTAGTCAAAGAGTCACAACTGAACAACAGGACCGCTTTGTGTGCCAAATTGTTAGAAGAAATCTCGGTGTTTTTCCTTCAGAGCTACAACGACAACTTCTGGAAGCTATAGGTATGAACTTTTCAGTTGAAATCCTAAGCAAAAGACTTCGCGCTCGTGGGTTGTACAGTAATAAGAGAGAGTTACGGGTCCCACTGTTATCTAGGCAAAATAAAATTGACCGGCTAAATTGGTAACTTCAACACCAAAACTGGACAATTGAGAATTGGCAAAATGTTATTTTTTCGGATGAGACCAGAATTGGCCTATAATCAGATGACCACTGAATTCGGGTTCTCAGAACTCCAGGAAGATGAGCGAGACTCCACGCTGCCAGATCTGTCCCAAGATATCAAAGAGGAACTGTAATGTTCTGGGGCGGTATTATTCTGGAAGCAAAAACTCCATTGTTACCACTTCAACAAACTTTAACCGGTCCAATGTATGTTGATTTAGTGCTAGAACCAATCATTAGGCTTTGAAGAGCTACAATTGGGGATAATTTATGCACGATAATGCACCTCCCCATATCAGCAGAGTGGTTAGAGAATGTCTTGAAACGAAAAGTGTCACTGTTTTAGACTGGCCTGCTTGTTCACCAGACCTAAATCATAACGAAGCATGCCAAGGCTAATAGAAGCTTGCATAAGGGCTAGAGGTGGTAACATGGATTGTTAAAATTACCAATTTTGTTTTTGCTTTTCGGTTATTAAAAAAAAAAAATTAAATCTCATTTTGTTTCAGAAACCAAAAAAAATACCATTGTGTTTATTTTGTCGACTAATTGATTGATGTTATTGCCATGTGGGTTAATTCTCATTAAAAGTCTTTGGTGAGGACTGAGTGATATTCGTAAACAAAAAATGTTCAAACATCTCAAAAATTATGAAAAATAATAGATGATTCCATATAAGTTTGGTGTTTATATCACGCTTTTTGTAACTGTAATTTGCACTCGTTTTGTTTTTTATAGCTTTAAGGCACACAATTCACTTTGATGACACCCTTACCAACGAAGTATTCGAATCTAGCGAGAGTTACTCATCGATGGAAAGTAAGTCCCCATTTCATTCCTCACCGTTTTCAATTGTCATTGCATGTGCTTTGAATTTGTTTATTTTTTAAATTACAACAATCATTAAAATATAAATAGGATATTTATGTTAGTGATTTATTGGCGATATAAAATTACTGAAATTGCCCATAAATGTCATCCACATTGTATGTATGCCGTTCAGTTTCTTTTAAATCTAGGGTGGTTGTGAAAATCAAACATCGTGTAAAGTAATAGGTTTTTTTCTGCAGCGAGTTCCTGACATACTAAGTATGCGCAGTACAAAATAACTGTTCCAGCAGAGCAAAGTTCCAAACAAATTGAACTTGTTTGGTGTTTCCGCAAGATTAAAAACTTGTTCATAACATGTTATTAGTTTTAATAGTTCCTAAATAAAATACGAACTTTTACTTTCACGCATGCTTATTTAAAATCATTTTCCTTATTTTTCTCTTTTGTTTTTAATTGGGTTTTTGGTTAGTTTTGTGAGTGCCTATTATCTTTAGTTTTAATTAAAATCTTATACAACGCTGTAACAGCAAAAAATATAATAAGGAGGGTACTTTTTATTTGTGTAATTTTGAATTGATCGTAAAGTATAACCTCAAAATCTTTTTTTAATATAATTGAATAACCTGTATTTAGTTAAAACAGTAGGTTAAAAATAAAAGAAATTTGTCATAAAACAGATGAAAATGCAAGGTAGACCAAAATTAGTCCAACAATATTTTGTATTTCAAAAAGTCTCAAAAAGTATTTCTTTTACGGAATGCAACCTTTTTAAATTTTAATTTTTAAGAAATGACCCCAAATAGACCCGCAAATGATGGTAATTTATCATAAAACCGATGAAAAAGCTATATAGACCAAAAGTAGAACTAAAATATTTTGTATTTCGAAAATTCCCAAAAAGTGTTTTATGGAAATCAAACGTTTTACAATTCAGTTTTTAAGAAATAACGCAAAATAGGTTAAAAATAACAGAAATTTGTCATAAAACAGATAAAAAAGCTAGATATACCAAAATTAGTCCACCCATATAGAACAAAACTAGTAAAACAATATTTTGTATTTCAAAAAATCTCAAAAAGTCTTTATTTCATGGAAAACAAAAGTGTTGAATTTTAGGATTTAAGAAATGAAGCTAAATAGTTTAAAAAAACAGATATTTTTTATAAAACATTAAAAAAAGCTATATAGAACAAAACTAGTAAAACAATATTTTGTATTTCGAAAAATCTCAAAAAGTGTTTTATGGAAAACAAACGTTTCACAATTCAATTTTTAAGAAATAACGCATAATAGGTTAAAATAACAGAAATTTGTCATAAAACAGATGAAAAACTAGTCCAACAATATTTTAAATTTTAATTTTTAAGAAATGACCCTAAATAGGAAAATGACGGTAAATAATCATAAAACCGATGAAAAAGCTAAATAGACCAAAAATTAGAACAAAAATGTTTTGTATACCGGAAAATCTCAAAATTTGTTTATTTAACGTAAAACAAACGTATTGAATTTAGAAAAAACATGAAAAAAGCTATATAGAATAAAACTAGTAAAACAATATTTTGTATTTCGAAAAATCTCAGAAAGTGTTTTATGGAAAACAAACGTTTCACAATTCAATTTTTAAGAAATAACGCTAAATAGGTTAAAAATAACAGAAATTTGTCATAAAACAGATGAAAAAGCTAGGTAGACCAAAACTAGTCCAACAATATTTTGTATTTCAAAAAGTCTCAAAAAGTGTTTATTTTACGGAATACAACCTTTTTAAATTTAAATTTTTAAGAAATGTCGAAAAATAGGTTTAAAATAACAGAAATTTGTCATAAAACAAATGAAAAAGCTAGATAGAGCCAAACTAGTCCACCCATATTTCGTATTTCAAAAAGTCTCAAACATTAATTTTTTTTAACGTTCCAGTACACATTTATTCAGAACTCATCGAACATTATTCTGCTGGCGCATGCGTATCAGATAATGTTTGTAACAAGTTTGGAACTCGCTTCGGGAACAAACCTAATACTAACATTGTCAAAGTTCTTCTTGTTCCTTGGATAGTTTAATCCTTTTCATTGGTGAATCTCATATATGTTTCAAATTTGAAAAAGATGGGTATTATTGTAAGACATGGCCATCGAACAAAGGAGAAAACGCAAGTTAAACATAGCCACATAAAATTAATGAATGTAAAATCTTTTTAGCATTCTTTGGGTATAATATTATAGTGAGCGGTAATATTTTAATAATTACCAGACGGCTAATTATGGTAAATATGTTAGATACGGAAATTTTGTTAAAAACACAGCCGAGTTTGTAGATATTACAATTAATTTTGAATGTGATACATGCATTTTTGCTGCAGATAAGACTTTATAACATTAAAAATATACATGCTAGAGTCGAACATTTACAAAGATGTTAAATTGTATTTATATAAATTGGAGTTATGCATGTTTGTTTCAAACAAATAAACATAATCTAAATATGTATATGTCGTAGCCAGATTACAAAACGCGTCGTTTTATAAATTGACTGGGCGTTTTATAAATAGCGGCCAAATTGTCAAATTGTCGTTTACCTTTCATTTTTTTACTATCTGGCTAGCTGGTTTATAAAAAGGCGGTCAACTCACGGACAGATTGTCAAATATTTAAGATTATCCTCTATTTGACATTCCGGCAGGTAAGGAGTTTCAGTGGTCTTGTAAAAATGCCGATTTTTTACATGAACAATTTAATTTTGGCTGGTAACAACTGTATAAATTAAAATGCAGAAGAAAAAAATAAAACTACATGTACAATGTGTAATTTCGCAGTAAGTGATAACATTAAATGGCAGTGTAATCTTTTCTGTAAAGAAAACATAATGGAAAACACAGAGCAAAATAGATCAAAAACGTGTAGCTGACCAAATGGTCCAAATCATAAAAAAATGGAGACATTTGCAGGGGGGAGGCAGCATGTTTTTATAACATTTCCAGGAGTCCGCTTGACCCTAAATCTATATTAAAAACTATTCTTGATGTACGAAATGGAGTATAACAGATAATCTATGTCAGTGGTCGCCAACCTGTCGATCGCGAGCTACTGGTAGCTCGCGGAGGCAATTCTGGTAGCTCTCACAACGATTTTAATTTAAAAAATACAAACTGCAAAAATCAGAGAAGCTTCCGAAAATTCCACAAAAAAATCTAATTGTCATAATATTAAACATAAACAGCGACAACGTTGCGGTGAGCGATCTGCCGCTGACGCCATCAAGCTAGAATCGGCTAGAACCGACCGGCCGGACCAGCGCGTTAGTGTTCGAGAACGATCAAGATTGCTTTGAACGGGATAAATACGCACGGCGCGGCGACATTGCGCTTAGTTTAAAACTGAACGCGTAACCAACGTCCAGCGGTTGAGTTAGTAGAGAACAACAAAAAATAATATTATGGCAAGCAGTTGTAAGAAGGTAAAGACATACCACTTTCATTCGGAATGGGAAGAACAATACTTTTTTACAGAAGTTAAAGATAAAAATGTGTGTTTGTTATGTAATACTTCGGTCTCCGTTGCTAAAAAAGGAAATATTGAGAGACATCATAAAACTGTACATTCTAATTTTGAAAAATCATTCCCACTACATTCTGCCGCCAGAAAGGAGAAACTGAAACAGTTAAAAAAGCAGTTAATTGAACAACAATCAATATTTTTAAGAACATTCGACAAAAATAAGGCTGCAACTGAAGCATCGTACCGTGTGTCCCAGATAATTGCACAAAAAAAGAAACCTTATGAAGACGGGGAAATGATAAAACAGGCGTTTTTAGAAGCTGCTGATTCGTTATTTGCCAACTTTAGAAATAAAGACGAGATAGTTTCAGCTATAAAATCTATGCAACTTTCTGCTAATACAGTGATGAGTGTAGAAGTAATGAGCAATGATATTTTTTTACAGTTAAGAACTGACTTGGATAACTGTGTTTATTTTTCACTTCAACTGGATGAATCAACAGATGTCGTTGACACTGCCCAGATGGTCGTGTTTGTCAGGATTGTTTTTAGTGATTTTACGATTAAAGATCTTTTGAAGTTTATTCCACTGAAAGGACACTACTGGACAGGAGTTGTTTTCTCATTTAAAAAATATTATTTCTTCCGAGAAAATTCCAATATCGAAAATGGTAGACTTGACAACCGATGACACTCCAGCTATGGTGGGTTGTGATAAGGATCTGGTGGCGTTATGTCGTAAAGATGAAACTTTTCCGCAATTTCTCTGTTACCACTGCATTATCCATCAGCAAGCATTATGTGGAAATTTCCTGAAACTAAACAACGTTATGAAGTGGTAAAAATTGTGAACAAGATTAGAACTCAAGCGTTACAAAGAAGATTATTCAAAACCTTGGCCGATGAAGTTGACTGTCAATACGGGGACCCACTCCTTCACTCTGAAGTCCGATGGTTAAGTAGAGCAGTGCTCCGCAACCGGTGTGCCGCGGCACACTGGTGTGCCGTAAGCCGACTTGAGGTGTGCCGCTCTTGCAGACAATACGAATCAGATTCGTATTGTAGCGAGACCCGCGAAAAATAAAGCAATCTGACAACAGCGCCGATGGTAAACGTCTATCCGTCTATCGGCGCGGCGCGGCGGCTTGATTCTCGAAGGCGACTAAACTAGAAAGATCCGTGCCGTTCGAGGCGCGACTCGATGTTTTCCTGAACATCGCCACTGCCTATATAAGCGCGCCTGTCGTCGCTCAGAGACTCAGAGAGAGTCGAATAGTCAAGTGAATCAGATAAATACGCGGGCAAACAAATAAATCGTAGAGTGAAATAAATAGTGAATTGCTATATAAATAAATTCTTGTGCCTTATAAATAAGTGAACTGGACTAAGTTTTGTTGCAGTATCTACTTTTATAAATAACTATAGTGCTTCAAATATGGATAAATTTTTGCTGAAATCACGAGCAGATGACGAAGAACCTAGCACAAGCTCCAGCATAAGTGCTGCAAAAAGAGCAAAAAAGGTGCTGAAAAGGAAGTACAATCAAGACTACCTTCGATATGGTTTCACTTGGTGTGGCGACGAAGCGGCTCCAAAGCCTGAATGCGTCATTTGCGGTGAACAGTTGTCAAATGAAGCAATGGTACCCAGCAAACTAAACCGTCATTTGATCACAAATCATCCCAGTTGCGTCAAAAAAGACATTCAATTTTTCCAACGGCGCTTGGATCAAAATAAGAAACAAAAGCAGTTTATGAAATCGGCGGTTACGGTTTCTGAAAAGGCATTAGAAGCAAGCTACCTTGTTGCAAAATTAATTGCACAACAAAAAAAACCGCACACTATCGGTGAAACGCTTATTAAACCAGCATGCATGGAAATTGTTAGACTTATGCTTGGGCCAAACGAAGTTAAGGACGTGAGTAAAGTTTCTTTGTCGGCCGATACTGTTAAAAGACGTATCCAAGATATGTCAAGTGATATTTTGGGAACACTAATTAAAAAAATCATTTCGGCTGGAATTTTTGCGCTTCAAATCGACGAATCAACCGATATTAAAAATAAAGCACAACTGATGGCTATTGTACGTTTCGTTGACGAGGACTCTATTAAAGAACATTATTTATTTTGTAAGGAGGTTCCAGAGAGAACTACCGGTGAACAAATTTTCCAAGTAACTGATAATTTTTTTAAAATACATAATATTCAGTGGACCAATTGCGTTGCTATTTGTACAGATGGTGCTGCTGCAATGATGGGCAGTAAGAAAGGTTTTGTATCTTGTGTAAAACAAAAAAATCCGTCAATACAAATTACACATTGCTGCATACATCGAGAAGCATTGATGGTCAAAAATTTGCCCGAACAGCTTTCGATCACAATGAATGAATGTATTAAGATCATAAACATAATTAAATCGAGAGCCTTAAATTCGCGAATCTTTGGAATACTCTGTGAAGAAATGGGAAGCGAACATGAATCCTTACTGTTTTATACAGAAGTTCGTTGGTTATCCCGGGGAAAAGTTTTAGCTCGACTGTTTGAACTTCGCTACGAAGTGCGTGAGTTTCTTTCAAGTCAAGATATGTACGATCTATGCCAGCACCTTCATGATGAATACTGGATAGCCAAACTTACATACATGGCGGATATATTCGAACATCTGAATGAACTTAATAAAAAAATGCAAGGACGGAATGAAAATATATTGACGTGCTCCGATAAATTACAAGGGTTCAAAAAGAAACTTGAACTTTGGCAGGAACAGTTGCAAAAAGGATGTCTAGAAATGTATCACAGGACCAACCACAGTACGATCGAAAACAAGCAGTTGATTGTGGATTTGGCCCAACAACATTTAAGTATGCTTCAACAAAAATTTGAATACTATTTCCATTCTATCAACACGGAACAATACAATTGGATTCGAAATCCTTTCGCAACCAATGCAATAAGTTCCACGGAAGCACTGCCATTGCAAACTCGAGAGGAGTTCACAGAATTAAGTAATGATATGACCCTAAAACTTAAATTCGACGAAGTTCCGTTAGATGTTTTCTGGATTTCCATCAAGACAGAATATCCACGCATCACCGACAAGGCCATCTTCACACTACTTCCGTTTTCCACAACATATTTATGTGAGCAAAGTTTTTCAACGCTTGTATTAATTAAAAATGATAAACGGTCATGCTTAAAAGATCTTGACCAAGAAATGAGAGTTGCGCTGTCTAAAATTGAGCCGAATATAAAACTTTTGTGTTCAACGAAGCAAGCGCAGGTATCACATTAATCAGTCATCATCATGTCAAAATATTTATTACTATTGACGTGTCAACAGAAGTAAATTTAGTATACCTACCTGTCCTACCTAGTATTTAGTATAGTTCTCATGTATGTACCTATTTGTATTTTTCATTCTATCTGAATAATAAAAAAAAATAAAAAAAAAATATGTATTATGTCCTGAGTGAAAATTTTGATGCCCCAAATCTGAAAGGGGCTTCTTCACATTTTAAAACAATAAAAAAAACTAAGGTAGTTTGGACATCCATAAATAATTAGTATACATGGAGTGAACTGACCCCCGACCTAGCTACGCCACTGCTATAAATATATTTTAGATTTTGGTGTGCCACGAAATTCTAGGGAGCAGTTTGGTGTGCCTCAGATGAGGAAAGGTTGCGGAGCACTGAAGTAGAGGACGGGTGCTGAAACGTTTTAATGATGTCCTATCTGGCATAGTTCAATTTTTCAAACAACGCGATGAACCGACTCCGGAACTAGAAAATTCAATCTGGCTTAGAGATTTTGGTTTTCTCGTGGACATTACAGAGAAATTAAACGAACTTAATTTGCAGCTTCAGGGGAGAGACAAAGAACTAGCGGAAATGATTTCTGATATAAAAGCATTTATCAAAAAGCTGGAGTTTTGGGAACAAAACCTAATTAACAGCGATGCCAAGCATTTTCCTATTCTTTCAGAAAAATATCTCAAAATCCATTAGAACCCTATGACAGCAAATATCATGTAGAAATAGTTTCTACCCTGAAGAATAACTTCAAAAATCGTTTTAAGGATTTCAACGAAATGGCTTTAGTAGCGCAGTTTGTTGTTGCAACTTGTGTTATGCAGAACTTTGGCGAAGACATCGCTGCAACAGAAATGGAAGTAATTGAGTTTCAAAATGATTTAGCCTTAAAATCGTTAGTCTCAAGTAACAAATGTATCTGGCCTATTGTAAGTAAAGACAAATATTCAGTTCTATGCCGTGTTGCCTTGAAAGTGAAAGCATTATTTAGTTCAACCTATTTGTTTGAATCTTCTTTTTCCAATATGAAGTTTATTAAGAACAAATATCGCAATCGACTTACAGATGAACATTTGGATAATTGTATTCGAATAGCTGTATCAAATTATACTGCAAACATTAAAAAAATTATCGATGAGTCTGAGTGTCAGCCTTCTCATTGAACGTGCTTTTTTATTTTTCAATGTTTATGTTCATGATAGTGCGTTACTTTTTTGTTGTTATTATTAACTATTTTTAAATCTTACGTGACATGCCGTTGTGGCTGGATAAAAGTTTGTGTTTATTTTTTAAACACCTTCGTTTGGTAGGTAGGAATGTAGCTATGAACAAGTACGTACTAGTAATATTAGTTATTTTGTTATTAGTTTATTATTAGTACCTATGTATTATGTATTACCAGTTAAATAGTAAAATAAATACATATAATGATAAATTAACTGTGGATTATTTCATTTACGTTGCGTTACGTGGCTTCCGTGTGGGTAGCTCGCTGTTTATTCCAAAATTAACAAAGTAGCTCAACACATTGAGAGGTTGGCGACCACTGATCTATGTTAAAAACTATTCTTGATGTACGAAATGGAGTATACCATATATGAACTGAACATGGGCTTTAAATCGATGGTTTTCTATGGACCAACTTAACTCAGTTGGTACGTCAAACTTAAATTCAGAAAATACCAGTATTACGTTAAGAAGTTATTTCTAATGGTTTTTAATTTGGAGGACAAGGTTTTAAAGAAAGCCAGTGAAAACCTATTAAAGTTTAATGCTGTACAAACAAATGTCTTGGTTTTGGTTTTAAGACACGGGAAAAATGCCACAAGAGGTATCATTTCAGTGGTCCATGTTCTAATAAATAAAATATGCTTATATTCTAAGATCTGATCGTACGATTTCTGCACTCCTCTGTTTTTAAAAGTGCTTTTAAAAATACTTTTTTTTACTTTAAGATGTATTTCTCTTATAATTAATTATTTTTATAAAAGTTGTTTGTGAGGTAATTCTCTATACTTTCGGTCATATAAATGATTTCTCTAAAATAACCTATAATTGAGAAATTTGAGGAAAAGTGCAAATATATCTGTGAAGTAAATATTGAGTAAGGTCCATTAAATCAAAAAATGTTTAGAATACGAATTACAAATAAAAATTAATCAAAACACTATTTCATAACTTCATTGCCAACAAAAATACTGAAAAAATCAAATTTCTCAATTTCTACATTACACTCCATGTATTGAAATATAATTACGTATTTGACAAAAATAGAGAATAATATCTCTAATTGAAATAATTAAGTAATATTAAACTCAGCAAAACTATATTTCTCATTCAATAATAATTATTATCTATAGAAATTGTATTTTGATTAAAACACAGTGTAGATATCATACGGTCGGATCTAAGACTAATATTGGTTCTTTTAAGCTTAGCAAGTATTGTTTTATCTTAAGTTCGTTTGTTTTTCAGTTTTATTTGTTCCACAGTTTAATTTGTTCTTCAGTTTCATTTGTTTTATTTATTAAACAAATATGTAAAATATTCGTTATAATGTTTAGTTCCATTAAATACATAAATAATACATTTGATGGCCTAACTTTAAAGTTTCGTATTTTATAAAACGACTAAAACATTTCACCCGCCAGAATGTCAAGCAGAATATAATTTTGAATATTTGACAATCTGGCCGCGTGTTGACCTTCATTTTATAAAACACCTAGGCATTTTACAATCCAACTAGCTAGATCAGAAAATAATGAATCTGGCTGCCTTTTGCAAAATGTCTAATTTTATAAAACGACGGATTTTACAAATTGGCTACGATATAATTTGGAGGATTAAAATAAATTATTACCTCTATTTTCCATTTCTTCTCGTCCTGATATTACAATACAAATCAAAAATACGCCGTTCATTAAATTTATCTTTGCCACAAAGATCTAACTTCTATTTTTTTCAATAACAATTATTTTATTGTATTTTAGTTTCTAATCAACTCTGCGACGATCTGATAGACCAACTAACCTCAACCGCTGATAAAGTTGTCGAACTCTATGGCAGGCTAAGCGAAGCCGAAGACCCCACTGAATCTCAAATCGACAGAATGGACAGGGTCAAGATGTCCATGATACGCACTTTCAAAGTCCTCCACGATTCCATTTTAAAGGAACTGAAGCAGAACAACGGGAACACAGACGTCAATCAAACGGACACCGTTAAAAAACTCAACGACTTGGTGTCTAAAGGTTCCAGTGGCCCGAATAACGTTATTAACATCATGGAACAATATTCTGATATTCTGTTGGATACGGTCCAGCAGAAGATACACAGTGCGAATATGTGACACATGATGAGTGTTAATTTTGAGTTAATTTGTTAACCTGTGATTTTTATATTTATGTTTTTAATTTAAGTTTTATCGAGTTTGTCAAGGTGTTTCACTTTTTTATTCACTTTATCAATATTTTAATTAAAAAATTATTAAATTAAATTGGGGCGATTTTGGAATTTTAGCTAAAACATTAATTACTAGTATTTAACTAATCTATCTCTATTTTGCAAACAAAAATATAATAAAAATCGTTATGTATTGTTAAAATAATTTTTTATTGATTATGTGAAATGCGTCTATATATGTGTCGATTTTAAACCCACTATCTGTTGAGTGACAATAAACTTTTTTTATTCGCTTTATCAATATTTTAATTAAAAAATAATTACATAAATTCTACCATTTGTAGCGTTACGCTTTTAATTTTTTTTTAAGTAAATATTCTTTTATTTTGTTTAAACTTATTTCATATTTGAAAAAAGTCTTTAAATATTAAAATAGAATAACTACTAATTCTTATAATATATTTAATATTTTTAACAAAAAAACTTGCTTCCTGTTTCAAACAAATTTGAAATGTGTGTTAGCAAAACTGAAACCGTCATTAAAAAAAATGGCTTATATTAACTGTAATTGCGAAAGTTTATTATCACTCTATTTACTGTTTAATGTTTTAAATATTTGTCAGCCCCAATATAACTCTAGCGGTATTTATTATGTTTAAAAATTGGTATGTTCTTTAGATTTTTAATTGCCAACACATTGAATTATTGTGAATTTTGTCAATATTGTTGCTTTTTATTTACATTTGGCATCATTGATTTTAAAACTTCTTCAATTTGAGGATAGGTACCGTTAAAGCTCCCAAATAAAACCATTCCAAGATGTACTGTATGGCTGTAGAATGACTGATGAGCCAACAAGATATAGCGCCAAAATAGATTTAGGAATTTAATTTAACAAAAAAAAGTGGGAATTTAAAAGGAATATTTTGGAATTGTCAAGTTGTGCTTCCATCTCGAGTGCACATAGATGTCCCAGAATTTTTATAGACCTTGACAATTAAGTTTTATCGTTACTATTGTTATAAATCACTCGATAATGATAAAAAATACAGTGGTATATGTTAAACTCTTTAGAATCTGAATAATTAATGAAGTTGTTTTTAACCTGTATATCAATTTATATTTTTAAAATTTAGTGGGACATCAGGTTCATATTTTCTGTATATTTACTGTATTGCATATAGTGTATAATGTTTAGTCTTCGATAATGATAAAATTGTTTTATATGTATAGTTTTTTATTTAATATGTCTAATTTTTAACTGTTTTTAATGGTTTTTAGATTAAGGAATTGTCAATTTTTATTGTAAGCTCATAATGTACACTAAATGATTATTTGTAACCATCAGACTGTATTAATTCATTGTAATTTCATAATAAAGCATTATTTGAACCAATATCTTTCTATGGAGTTTATGTACTTTCATCTCTGTATAACCAGGACACTTAGGCCATCTCTATCTGTAACGTGTGGAGGATGGGTTACCCCCACAGCACTTAGGCCTCATTAGGCCCATTATGCATCCTCCTAAGATGATAGCCACCTCCTAGTTCGTGAGCCAGTCTACAGATTTAATGTAGTTGACAACGTCGCTAAGAAGTGCTTCTCTTATACTGGCCGGTGTTAGCCGATACTCGCCGAACACAAATCTCCTAATAAATGAGAGCGTCGAGCAATCGTAGAGGATATGCTCGATGGTCTCATCTCATGTTCGCACCCTCTGCAGAGTGCGGATTCTGACAGCCCCATGATATGGAGATGCTTCTGTACTTGGCAATGACTAGTCAGAATGTCTAGGCGCAGATTCTGTCTAGTCATAGTCACGTATTTGTTTGCTGCAGTGTTGTCAGGATAACTTAAAAGCTCCCTGGCAACTCTGCAGTTTCTTGTTTCATCCCATCTTTCCTTGAATTTCGCAAGGGAATGTTTTTTAATTAGGTCTATCACTATCGTTTTTGTCAGGCCAATACAAGGGCCAGGTCCAAAAAGTATTTGGTCGGCTGCTTTCTTGGCCATTGAATCAGCAAGACGGTTACCTTTCGATGTGGCGTGACCTTTGATCCATCTTAAGATGACCACGTTGTTGATGGATACTTCGGCCAAAACTTCGTGACATTCTAGTACTAATTCTGAATAAATTCGTGGTCTGTTCAGGGTGGTGAGTAGTGTTTGTCTACTATCTGTATAGATGAGCATGTTCCTTCTAGTGATATTAGTTATTCCAACGACCTGTCAAACCGCTGACACGTGGCAATTGACATATACCCAGACAACACACCAAATCCCAGAGATATCCACAGAATCAGAGATTAGGGACATAAAGATAGGAAACGCAGCGACCGCAGTAACGATGGCGTCATCTATTCGTCTCAGATGTTAACTAAAGGTACACGTCGTTTGTAGACAGATAGTAGACGTGGACAGCAGTCGACAGTTTGTAAATATAAATGTCAGTTAGTTGTATGTATATCGTAGAATCCTGAATTTAAATTTTTAATTTTAGGTTCAAGATTGTATTATCCTCTAAATGAAGTAAATGAAATGGTTGTAGCTATTTTTGTGTATAATTTGAGGACAATAAATATATTTGGTAATATAACAATAAGCCGGAGAACGTATTGCATTAGTAACACATGCCACATGAATAACAACCCCAATGTGGTGTTCTTTAATTAACCAAAGTAAGATCTAGTCATGTAACACAAATGATATCCAACTTTTGTCGCAAAGTAGGTATTTATTATTTATCGTTTTAGAACAAGAAAATGGCTTCAAAACGTTAGAAAGAAGATTTGATATTTGTCATAAATAGATTAACAATAACTAATCGATAATAGACTGTAAGTGTAGTATTCTTTTTAATAAATAATTTAGCGTAATTACATTGTTTAAATTTATTTACCAGAACGTGAGAGTGCAGTCGATATTTATACAACCTTTATTATCAGATTTTTAAATTTCCCGCTGCAATATTTGTTTGATATTGATGACAGCGCCACATAGTGGGTCAGATGTTAACTGCAATAAAGCTGGTCGTTGTTAAGCATTGGCTTCTTATGAGCGTTTCCTATCTTTATCTCCCTTATCTCTGCACAGAATATCTTTTGTGGATATCCAATATATCCACAGGATATCAGAAATATTCCGTGGATCTAATATGGATATCCAAATGTCCGTCTATATCCAGAATATAGAAGATATCCTATGGATTATCCAGCAATATCTAATGGGTATCTTCCTGACAATACGAGAAATCCCAGAGATATCCACAGAATATATTTCGTCGATATCCAATATGGATATCCAACCAAATGTCCGTCTATATCCCAGGATATAGAAGAATTCGGATATTCAGCAAAATATTTTATGGGTATCTTTATATATGGGTTAAAATTTAAACGTCATAGTTATAAATAACCTTTTGACCTGGTGGTTAAAATTAACTAAAACATTACAGAATAGACCCCTATGTCCTTTAACTACAATGTGTAGAAGTGTCAATCAGTATTCTGTTGATATATTTTTTCTAAAATTTTACCAATTTAGAAAGCAATGTTACAGATTGGTATCAAATTAGGTAATCAGAATGTAATTTAGTTAAGTAAGTATTCTCAAACTTTGTATTTTTAAATATTATATACTCCTGTAATTGGGCTGATAAAGCCTGTTGGATGTATTAATAAATAAATAAATAACGTCGAAAGAAAATAGCAGAGAATAGTACATTATATACCTAGGGTGAGAAGTGAGCTATTATTTACCGAGCACTTTTATATCCTGAGGCGCGTAGCGCCGAGGGATATAATGTGCGAGGTAAATAATAGCTTTCTCAGCCGAGGTATATATAGAATTTTTTTTACTACTAACATTAATATATTAGCAATTTTAATTTTGACATAAGTAATTTCCTAACAATTAGGCATTCCAACGACCTGTCCAAATGGCTACCAGGTGGGTACTGACAGTTTAGATATGGCAACCCTGTTTTCATGTTGTCATTAACAGGGTCAATGATACATGTATGTTATATACATTGCTCAAAGCTGGTCGTTTGCGAGCAGCCATATTGCCTAGCAAATATTTATTAATTTGAATCAGTTTAGCAAAAATGTGTTTTAAAACCAATTTTCAGACTTTAGATATTTAAAAAATAATAATTGTTTATATTTTTACTTCAAGGCATAAGCTTATGTTTATTTTAAAAAATAGGGATGATCAATCTATGTAACTATCTATTTCACTCACCTTGTCAAATCACCAGGCCAACAGAGTTGCCATAACTTTGCCACATCATAACCTGTCAAAACCCACTGGTAGTCATTCAGTTTGGAATGCCTAATTTGTTAAATATTTCGAAATATCAAGCAGACTGGAGCGTGTTTCTAATCAGACTGGCTTTATTTATGTAAAAATTTGGCATGTGTCAAATTTTGGTATGATTCTAGGAAATATCCCATTGCATTTTTGATATTTTAATGACATAGATTTATTGGTATTAATTAATAATTTTTAAAGCCTATTGCCGGTGTTGAATTTCCTAGTTAATATATATTTTTACTGTTTACACTGATATATATTATCATATTTGATTTGATGAACCCAGCTTTAGTTATTTCCTACTTATTTTTCAAATATTCCAAAATATCAAGTAGTTGGGAGTTTAGTTGTCAAATTCATAGATATGGGAGATCTATGGTCAAATTAACAAAATGAAACTAATGAAATTTAAGGTTTGTTCCAACAGCGAATCTGATCATCAGAAGGACGTTAGACGCATGCGCATTGAAAATAGTCTGTTCCTACAAAGTCACGGATGATCCGATGAACTGTCAGTAAAACCGTTGTATGATCTTCATACAACGGTAAAACGTTCCAACGTATTTTCTGATTAGGCATTCCAACGACCTGTCCAAATGGCTACCAGTGGGTAATGACAGTTTAGATATGGCAACCCTGTTGTCATTAACAGGGTCACTGATACATATATAGTTTATATAGATTGTTCAAAGCTGGTCGTTTACGAACGGCCATATTGCCTGGCAAATATTTATTAATTTGAATCTGTTTAGCAAAAATGTGTTTTAAAACCAATTTTTAGCCTTTAGATATTAAAAAAAAAATAATTGCTTACATTTTTACTTCAAGGCATAAGCTTATGTTTATTTTGAAAAATATGGATGATCAATCTATGTAACTGTCTATTTCATTGACCTTGTCAAATCACCAGGCCTAAAGGGTTGCCATAATTTTGATAGCACGGCGTGACTGGTAGCCATTCAGTTTGGAATGCCTAATTCGTACATGAATGAGTCGGCGGATTGTCAAAACGATCAGAGCTTCATCGCTTGTACAATTTATCAGCACATGCGCATTTGAACGTCTCTTCTCGTTCGTGATATTTTTTTGTAATTGTTGAGATTTTAAGTTAGCTTGGAGTGGCTTGGGTTTCTATTGCTTTTAATTGAAATGAATAATTTTTGTGTGCGGATTTTTTTTGTAAAATGCATACTTATTTTTAATAAAAATAAACAATCTTAATGTTTCAAAATTATACATTCACATAGAGCAGCGTTCGAGACAGCTAAATAAATGTATGTTGTTGTATTTTAAATAATTTTAAAATACCAATTGACCAAACATATGTTTGGTTTGTCAAATTCCATTGCATTTTGCGTTCCAACAAGGACAAGTCGCTGATTAAACAACGGACGAATAAACGGACTGACATGCGCAGTGATAAGTTTACGAATGCATCCATGCACGAGTCAAAGACACATCAGAAAGGCGCTGTTGGAACAAACCTTTAGTTTCATTATTTACCTAGGTGTTTTTTTATTATCATTATTTACCTAGGGTGAGAAATATTACTTCTCATTAGAGGAATGGAGTAAATAATGGTGCTTTCTCATGTTAGTAGTAAAAAAAATATTTTCAACACTCAAAATATTTTCGATTCTGATTAATGAGCACTTGCAAAGCAATATATCAATGTATCATTGACCCTGTCAATGACAACAAGGCTCACAGGATTGCCATATCTACCCAGACAGCACACCAAATCCTTTGGATATCTACTGAATATCCCAATATCCACTGAATGTCCAGTCCATGGTGGATATCTATTTTATATCCATGAGATGTAATTTATAGACATGCAAATGTCCATAAATAATAGTAATTATATAGCAAATTATTAAAAAATTACTCCATTGTGGCTAATAGTACCGTTCAGATATTTAAAATTAATTTTTTTAAGGTGTATTCAATATCCCATGGACATCCACTAAATATATCAAAGTCTATGCGCGAACGCAAACCATCGTGGATATCCACTAGATGTGTTATTTGATTTTGCTTACTAAGTATAGATGGCGATACCACTTTCGCATCTACTCATTCTCGACCCGCCGTAATTGAGTTCGATCGAAATTTGTTTCACAATTAGACTCCATTAGAGACTGGAGTCGAGAATTTCCATTTATTGCAGAAGAGTCCTAATAAGGATAACTTTCTCATTAGTGGGCAAAATCAAAGGCAGAGTGTTGAAAATATTTTTTATCTCTGCTATTTTCTTTCGACTTTATTCAATAATCATTGATTACTCATGAACCTTTACTAAAGATAAAATATGTTGCTGAATATCTTCTATATCCTGGGATATAGACATTTGGTTGGATATCCACAGAATATATTCTGTGGATATCTCTGGGATTTCTTGTATTGTCTGGAAGATACTCATTAGATATTTTGCTGGATATCCATATATCTTCTATATTCTGGATATAGACGGACATTTGGATATCCATATTAGATCCACGGAATATTTCTGATATCCTGTGGATATATTGGATATCCACAAAAGATATTCTGCGGATATCTCTGGGATTTGATGTGTTGTCTGGGCATAAATCTATTTGTTTGTGTAACAGTTGACATTTAGGATTAAAATTTGTGTTTATAATTTTATTTGAATGTACCTATTTACTTTAATTTGGACGCATATATTTTTAAAATTTAATTTTTTCGGTTTTCACACAAAAAAAACAAATAGTTAATTAACTCCTTAATTCTGATTAATTCCCGCAATCCATCTAATCTGAAAAACCATACTGAAATGATGGAATGGTGTTGCATCGATTGCATCACGTTGGATAAAAAGACAGCGCTGTTAGTTAATCATTGATAAATTGATGAAATAAAAGACAGGTAAATACCGCACCAATGCCAACGTTCTGCAACAGTTGGATAAAAAGACACACGTAAAGCATAGACCACAAATGACATTTGAGGAAGAGGTGATTGTGTCCGAAATATCGGTTCCAACCGTTACGAAGTTTAGTTTTGTGTTTAGGAGTTCTGGAGGTTTTAATTCCATTTTCATCCGTTTCCTTGTGAAAAGGACCATTTCAGGGTTGATACAGTGAATGGTCCTTACATCACTGTTCTATAATTTTAAGAAATACTTGCATTCTTTCGCAGAGTATGTTATCAAAATTCTCTGTTTGCAGAATGACCAGGTCATCTGCATATGCTATTGTGTAGTGACTGTCATTATTGAGGTGGCTGATGATGTCAAGAACCATGTTCCACAGTAGAGGTGATATCACCCCTCCCTGTGGACATCCCCTCACAACCAAACCTCTTATATTCACATATTCTACACTTATGTTTACTGCTCGCTTTGAGAGCATGTTACGTATCCACTCACTAACCATCTGTGGAACATTCTTGTTGGTTAGTGAGTGTATTATCTTGTGAAAGGTGGTTTTATCAAAAGCACCTTCTATGTCTATGAAAACACCCAAGGCGGACTCCTTATTGTCCAGGATCTCTCTATCCAGCCAGCAACTAGATGACGGGCTGAATCAGTAGATCTGCCTGTGGTGTATGCATGTTGGTTTGGGTGTAGTGGCGTTGATGTAATCACTGCATCCCTTATGTACCTTTAGCACAGCCTTTCTAATGTCTTCATGGAAAACGATGTCAGACTAATTGGTCGGTATGTTTTTGGGACAGTGTAATCCATCCTTCCAGATTTGGGTGTGACTACCACTTTTACCTCTCTCCATTTTTTTGAGATATACCTCAGAGCTAACAAAGATCTGAATATATCCTCCAAGTACGGTGTGAGTTCTTCCAGACCCCACTGAAGTAGGGCTAGATAGATACCGTCAGGTCATGGCGATTTAAATGGAGAGAAGTTGGATATTGTCAATTTAATTTTTTCATCATCTACAATGTGTGTGGCAGTTTGCCAATCACAGACAGATGGGTTGTATTCTTCCCCTGCCCAGTCGGCCACGTCTGTGATGACTGAGTCAGGGAAGTGTGTTGACAGCAGAAGCTTGATGTTATCTTCGAGGTTGGCATGTATGACTATGTTCCTTTGTACATTCTGCTGATTAACTCGAAATAATCTAGTGCTTCCTAGCATCTCCCATAGCTGAAGACAAGATGTTTAGTAAGATTAAAACATTTTAAGTAAATTTTAATATATATACACTTTTTTTAACTAATATCTACATTACATGATATATCATAGAATCAAGTTTTTTCAAGAATGTAAACCCATACAGCATCTATTCCATGACCAATAGTTTTGACAGGAATTAAATTTGGTAGTGGAAATCGGCATGCAATTATATTACAGTCCTCTTTGCATTCTGCTATGAACTTTTTCTCCAAATCATTCATCTACGATAAAGGTGTTGTATTATTAGTTGTTATAGATACATGGATAAAAAAAGTATTACTGGGTAATCTTGTACTTTAATGCCCATGTCCCGCACCAGTCTACACTGACATTCTTGTTATGCCATTTATTTTTGAGGACAAGAAATCTGTGTTTCAGTAAAAAATACTTCAAAATAATCTAAAATTAAATATTCTAAAAATTACCTTGACCTTAAAATTTAAATTTGCAGGAATCTTTGATAACTCAATTTTTTTTTCTAAATTTAAAAAATAGTATATAACCGTGGCAACTATGTAACGATTCTGAATATCAAAGCAGCAATAGCACAGACATGTGCATTAAAACCCACCTAAACTAAAAGGTTACAGTATATATTACTGTACTCACCATTTGTTCAACACCAAAAATAACAATATTATCATACTGAGATATATTAAACTTCCATAAATCCTTTCTATAAAATTTTACCCTACTTGCAGCACCTTCTCTAAATGCACTAAATTTGGAAAATAAAACTAACCATGGATTTAGTTCTACCCCATGCGAATTAAAATCGTGTTTTGCAGCTTCTAAAATAAAATATTGCTCTTGTGATCTTATTAAATTATTTAGGTACCTACCTATAACAATTCTGCCATCACCAGACCCCAAATCTAATAGTGTGCCTCTTCGGCCCTTGAGAGCAGTGAGGATATTTGCTATTTGTTCATTTGTTGCTGGTATATAAGGCAAACAGTATTTTCTAAGTGCTGGACTCACAAATGGAGCACAAATTATTGTTAAACCAAAGGCAATGCCACCTAAAAGAATAGATTATCTAATGTTTGAATAAACAAACTATATTGATACTTACCTGTAACTCCTATAAAAAATTTTCCAACAGGAGATATTTTTGTGGGAATTTCAGTTCTCAAAATTTCTGGTACTGAACTCATAGAAAAAAATTATTCTAAAGATTTTTATTTTAAATTTTAAGGTTATGATTTTGTTTTCCTCTTCTTCTCTTTTTTCTTTAACTTTATCCTGTCTGTAAAAATATTACAGAAAACACTTTTACTTCCTGGATAGCTATTCACTAAGTCATGGGAGCGCTCCCATGGGAGTGCTCCCATATATTGCTCTCTTACTCTTAGGTGGGTATATCGTGCTTACTCACTTTTAGCCCAGGTACATGCGTAGTAAGGTCAGATTTTATACTATGGGAGGGAGAATTGCGGGCTTGCCAGATTAGGTCCGTATTTATCACAAAGCAAATTTGAATTACTAAGGGCTGATTCCACCGTTGAGTTAAACGGAGATTAAAATGACATTGTTAATGTAAAAATGTCATTTTAAACTTCGTTTAACACAACGGTGGATCGGTCCTTAAATAGTAGATTAAAGTTATTCTGTCGACTTGGCAACGTTGGCATGGGAGTATGGGAGTGCTCCCATGAGTTAGAGAATAGGTATCCTGGTATTTAACCAGGCCCGTATTTATAAACAGAACTTACGTGAGTCGGACTTGGGTAAGTCGTCCTTGAACTAAAATCAAAGTTCGGTTACAACGTCTCTAAAGTTCTAAGTGGTTCTGGTGTTAAACTGGAATTTAGAGATGGATATTAGCAAATCTGTAACTGTTATGTACATTTACGGATTTGTTACTATCCATCTCTAAATTCACGCGATATAACCGAACTTCTATTTTCGTTCAAGGACGACTTACCCAAGTCCGACTCAGCTGAGTTTTGTTTATAAATACGGGCCTTTTTTAAGTTTTACAAAGCTTTTCTCAGACAATTATTCCAGTGTTTAATTTAAATTTGTTCGTGTGGTGGTGTTAAAAGTAATTGTAGGTTGTTGTGTTTATTTTACAATTAGGAAAAATGACTAAAACTTGTTTTTTATGTGGATTAAAATCTATAAGAGGAAGTGAGGTTACGTTTCACTCGTAAGTATTGCGGTATTTGGCATAGGCGTCGCAGAGGCGAAAAAAAAAAATAAATTAATATATTATGAATATTAAAAAATAAAACTGGTATTTTATTTCTAGTCTTCCAAAAGACGCAATTAAAAGAAATTTATGGTTAGAGACACTTGAGTGGAATGAAACATTAGAAGTTGGAAGAATTTATTACATCTGCTCAAGGCATTTTTCAGAGGATTGCTTTGCTGTACCAGTGGGTTTTCTTTATACACGTTTGAAACCTGATGCAGTACCAAATATATTGTAGGTTGACATTTCTTAATATATCAAGCATTTTTGAAAATTGTATCATAACTTTTTAGGAACCCTGACATAACTCAAACAAGGCAGGAAGAAGACCGTAGTTATGAACCTCCAAAAAAAACTATAAAGTATTTTTTTAGTAAATTTTGTGAACCATTAATGTTTGAATGTTTTTAGGGTAGAAATTTCTTCAGATACTGAATTATTTGAATATGGGCCAAGTACTTCATGGTTAAATTCGCCAACAAATAAACAAAGTTATAGTTTAAAGAAAAGTACCTCACAAACTTCAGTATTAAGTTCAAGGTCTGACTCTGAAACACTTACCACAAGCCCATCGATAAAATCTGAGTCGCCATTAATTAAGAAGTAAGTTAAACATTGAATTTGATATGTGTACTTATATTGAATTATATTCATATACTTTATTTCAGAAAAAAGAAAGTTTTCAGATATTTTGGTGACTTTACACTGAAGTCTCTAGAAAAGCGATCAATACGAAAACGTTTTTTTTTGGTTTCTAACAATACTGTTTCAAATTTACGAAGCAAAAATAAATCATTGCAGACACAAGTAAGAAGGTTGAAAAAGTCGGTCTGCGATATTAGAAAATTAGTGCAGAATTTTGAAGAAAATTTCAAAACAAATGATGAATTCAAGACTGCTTTAAAAGTAAAAATTTTTATTAAAAAATAAATAATCATAAATATACTTTGCATTGTTATAGGCAAGTGATTCTGGACCTGCTGAAGACCTTTTGGTCAAGTTATTAGAAGGACCGTAACGTCAAAAATATTCAGAAAAACTTAAATCGTTTGTATTAACTTTACATTATTACTCTCCATGAGCATATACTTATGTAAGAGACACTTTCAATAAAACTTTACCAGACCCAAGAACAATAAGAAGATGGTATGCAGATATTGAAGGAGGTCCTGGTTTCAATCAACATGCTGACTGCAATAAAAACAAAAGCAGAAGATTAAAAAAAAAGAATATAACATTAGTTGGTGGGTTACTAATGGATGAAATTTCAATTAGAAAACTCATTGAATGGACAGGAAAAAAATTAACAGGCTACAGTGATTGGAAAGGTTATATTGGGAAAGATGATGGTGATGATGAAGATTTGGAAGAAGCTAAGGAAGTATTAGTATTTATGGTAGTTTGCCAGAATGCAAATTTTAAAATACCAGTGGCATGTTTTCTAACAAATGGTATTACTAGACAAGAAAAATTAAATTTGATTCTAAACCTTTTGGAACATTTAAATACCACTGGCATAATAATAATAACCTCACTAACATTTGATGGGTTGTTAGTTGTTAGCTAATTTTACAATGGCTTCAACATTGGGGGCTGATTTAAATACAGTTGAAAATCTTAAACCATGGTTTACTTATAAATATGGAAATATTGATAGAATTTTTTTTATTTTTCTTGACCCTAGCCATATGTTAAAGTTAGTAAGAAATAGATTGGGTTCTAAAAAAGTATTTATTTATAATAATAGTTTAATAAATATATTTTGAAAAATTAGTTAAAGTACAGAATTTGGAAGGTCTGCATGCAGCAACTAAAATTAGTCTAAGAAATATAAATTGGCAAAAAGAAAAGATGAAGGTAAAATTAGCTGCACAAACATTTAGTCGTAGTGTTAGAGATGCTTTTCTTTTTTTATCACAAGATTTGAAATTTCCCGAATTTAGAGATGTAGAGTGCAAATTTTTGTTTATTGTTTGATAATTTATTCGATATTTTCAATTGTAGAAACTTAAATTCTAAATCCCAATATAGAAAACCTCTTTCAAAAGGTACTATCAACCTAATATAACCCTATCTTGAAAGTTGTTTTGAATATTAAATTTACCAAATCAGCAGAAAATTATAGAATCTCAATCTAAAACAGGGTTTTTGGGGTTTATGATTAATATAAAAAGTTACATTCAATTTTATGAATATTTAATTGATTGTGAAACCCCCCGTCTTAGAATTTCTGCTCAGTTACAAATTATCCCAAGATCAGTTGGAATTTTTTTTAGTGCTATAAGAAGTATGGGCGGATTTAACAATAATCCTTCTGCTCGACAATTTGAATCGGCTTTTAAAAGACTTTTGATTCACACTGACATTAAAGGTTCATTAACTGGAAACATAAGTGTACTTGATGAGAACACACTTATGCTTTCAGTAGAAACTCCATCTATGACACCCTCAGATGAACAATGTCAATTTTTGAATCCATATGAGCACGATTATGCAGTGAGTCCAAAAAGCTGGCATCTTACAGAGTACTGCATTGATGTTGTTGGTTACATTGCTGGATTTGTAGTGAAACAACTTGAAGGGAAAATAAATTGTGAAAGATGTTTAGAAATTTAAAAAAATGATTTTTCGAGTTCCAAGCTACAAATTAGAAAAACTTATGGCAACCTGACATCATCATCAAAATGTCATAGATGTTTGCACAATAGCTGAAAAAAACTCTGCGTTGGTCTCAGAAATCACATAATAAATATTCTCAAAAGAAAAAACAAAAATCTATTAGAAATATCTTACATTAAAGTCATTGGAAAGTGTTAATGCAGATTCATTTAATGTATTTAATGAACACATTTTTGATAAAACTCATTCTACATCATTAACAAAATTATTATTAAGCACTAACATTAACTTAAGGATACATTATGAAATAACGAAACAGAATAGATTTATGTTAGATGTAAATAGTGTAACTTGACAAACCGGACCCTTACCTAGTTTTGCAAATACTTATAACCTTGGCCTAAATTTCGTCTAGTGGATCCCTACGAAGTGATGTTAAAACCCCCCAGAATTACGTTTAAGAGTTCAATGTAGCTGTAATGGAGGAAGAACAAAGGAAACACCGAGATTAATTTTGAATACTGTTCATTTAACATCTATTCTTTTGTACAGCCGAACATTTAGATTATGTGCCATTTTTAGGCTTAACATTATGTTTATGTAGGCTTTCTAATGTGTCATTTCTAACCTCAGAGCTTTTAGTTCCCATAAAAGGGGTAAAATAAAAGTCGGAAGTACTTTGGTATGTTTGTTTGTCTCCTAATATACAATCACACGTTTCCACGGAACTATTGAATTACGCATTGTCTAATAAAAGAGAGTACAACGGTAGCACGAGGAGTATTGTGAGATATAAAATATTGTGTTGAATTGAGAACCTCTTCCTTTTTGAAGTCGGTTAAATTTAATATTTCTAATATGTGTAAAAACCGGAGTGTAGATTTACCTCACCGTACGTCACGCCTTTCTCTAATATTCCAACGCCGTAATTTACCGACATACTCAGTTCCTGTGTAGACAACACTAAACGGTCGATCGGAGAACACCTGATATAAAGGGGGATGCCCGTCAGGCCCACTTTTGGGGGTATCTCAGTAGAGATCCATCCAAGGCCTCTAGCAGGCTTTAATTTACATAGCAGCAAGGGGAAATACCATTTTTAGGCCCTTACTATGGTGGCCTAAGGCGTCTTTTTTGACACGATGCTCTTTTGCTCTGTCGATTGACAAATCAGTGTTATCTAATCACAGTTCTGAGGATACGTTAGCTAGTCCACAAACACAATTTCACCTATTTATTCTAAATAAATAACAAACATACCGACTACTTCCGCGTAATGTCCCGCTAAAGATATGTGGATATGTACAAATAAATACTACCCCTCCCTCAATATTCATGATTCTACCCGCCGCTGTACATATCTCCTTTTTCCCCGAAAATTCGATAAAAAAAACTAAAATTCCGTACGGCTAAAATGACACATTTGTCTACCCAATTTTGTTTTACAAAGAACGACAGAAAACATATTTTTTAACCGCAATCTAACTGTAAAATATATACAAATCAAGGCGTTTTACCCTACTAATCTACATCTGTTTGCCATTTAAAAGTAAAACCGAAAGTGCTTTTTATCTTTACTGAAAGGGGCAGGTACTGCTTACAGACAAACCGAAACTTTACAATTCGGCCCTTTGGCCATAAATCTAAATGACTTAATTTATTGCTTGAGAGCATTGACCGACTTTACAACAATTAATATTTATGACAACAACATCACTATAATAATTTTTTCCCACAATAAACGTTTACCAATGAATACCAAAAATATGACAATAACACACAGACGCGAATATTCCCGCTAATGAATATAAAAAGTAATAAAGTGATACCTGTAACCTATTAATGTTTGTCTAAATTCTCCCCCGGAATATCTGAATATTAATTACTAGTTTGATTACTTTAATAGTGCGATTATCGTTTTAATTCTACGTAAAAGAAACCTTACAGAAAGAAAAGTATGCCGCTGATAAAAGTGTCTACCTCGCGCAAGTTCGTCGGGTCAGCCAGAAGGGTGACGAAATCCACTACGAACGTCGCCTATAGAGTAGTACTTTTAATCATTTAGTAACATTTTATAATGTTGAACCGGAGATACAAAATATCTGGCGTTTAACTAGACTAGCGAGGTATCACCAGTATTAGTTACGCCAATATTTTAGTCGCTCGGTAGATACAACTTTACAAAACAGTTCTAGGAGCGAAATATGGTTCTATTCAACGTGTATCTGCTTGGTCAACCTGACTATATATCTCCTTTTACTTATATATAAAATATAAGAAAAAGGTGGTCATCCTAAGGATAACTGGATATCTATGCAGAAGCCGTCGTTTATAGAAACTAATTTCTCTACTCCGTCGATATCTTTTATTTCCGTTGTCAAAATATAACAAAAGCGCGGCCACCGTAAGGGTAGCGATATCTCTTTTTAATTATATTTGAAGAATATAAAGAAAAATGAGTCACCGTGACGGTAACCTGGATATTTGCGTTTTTTGTTAACTCGACTCGGCGAAGAAGAAAAAGCTAATGTTTTTCCAGCCCACAAAAACCCGGGTATTTATACTTAAATTTCCCATATAAGCAAATGTATCAGACACAGACCGACTGTGGCTTTGGTGTATAAAGACTATAAAGCCCTGTATTAATTCCTGAATATAGCCCTTACGTTCACATCTGGTTCTTTCGTTAGCGTCCATGAGATCCGAAACATAGACTGCTTTTCCCAGAAGTAATAAAACGGCGCCTACGAGGCGGGATACGCTGGGATGCTGTTTGAATTCGAAATAAAATTTGAATATAATATGTAATATATAAGAATTATTTAAATTAATTATCAACCCCCGGTTGTCGGATTTCAATAGATTAAGATCGAGATTGACAAAATTAATAACTTTTCAGAATCAATAACTAGTTTAAATTCAGTCAACTCATTTACCATATTCGTTTTTTATATTTTTGTTTTATATATTGTGTTTTTGTATATTATTAAAGTCTGACCCTTAGTGAAATGTTTAATTAAGTTACAGCAAGGGACAGTTAAAATTTTTAAAAAGTGTACTTTTACTTCCAACGAACACTGCACTGATTTATGCCAAACATCAATGTGAAGTTTGTCAAAAAAGGTTGTATCTAATGCCACGTTTGAGAATCCACATCGGATGCATTTTTTACATCTCGAGCGTTTTTTTATCCACATCGGACACATCTGTCCCATTACATTTACGTATACTGAATCACGTGATCAAAGATTTACTACATCTCAGATGCATCCGATGTGGATTCTCAAACGCGGCATAATAAATTAAATTAATTACCAGAGTATCGTATCATTAATGATTTATGTGGAACGTCAATGTGAAGATTTTCTAAAAAGGAGACGAAAAATGGACACAAATTATTTTGGTCTCTTAAATCGACTTTATCTTACGAAAACAAAAAAAGCAAATGTTGTTTATAAAAGTTCTGTTTATATTGTTAAATAAATTTTCCAAATAACACGCTAGTTGAGAATTTTTTTTGAGAATATTTTGTTTTATTTTTTTATTAGGTACGAGTATATTTTGTTTTCATGTTCAAATTAAAAACTATTATGTATTTCTGCAGTTTTACCATTGCATAGGTTTCAATAAGTATAGGTATAGATACTTTGTAAAATCTCAAATCCTCACTCCCAGACAACACACCAAATCCCAGAGATATCCACAGAATATCTTTTGTGGATATCCAATAACATATCCACAGGATATCAGAAATATCCAAATGTCCGTCTATATCCAGAATATAGAAGATATCCTATGGATTATCCAGCAAAATATCTAATGGATCTTCCAGACAATACAAGAAATCCCAGAGATATCCACAGAATATATTTTGTGGATATCCAACCAAATGTCAGTCTATAATCTAAGATATAGAAGAATTCGGATATTCAGCAAAATATTTTATGGATATCTTTAGTAGAGGTTCATAAAAGTAACCAATGTTTATTGAATAACGTCGAAAGAAAATAGCAGAGAAAAAATATTTTCCACACTCAAAATATTTTCAACACTCGACTCCGGTCTCTAATGGAGTCTGATTGGGAAACAAATTTCGATCGAACTCAATTACGGCGGGTTAAGCATGAGTAGATGCGAAAGTGGTATCGCCATCTATACTTAGTAAGCAAAATCAAAAATTACATCTAGTGGATATCCACGATGGTTTGCGTTCGCGCCTAGACTTTGATTATTTAGTGGATGTCCATGGGATATTGAATACACCTTAAACAAATTAATTTTAAATATCTGAACGGTACTATTAGCCACAATGGCGTAATTTTTTAATAATTTGCTATATAATTACTATTATTTATGGACATTTGCATGTCTATAAATTACATCTCATGGACATAAAATAGATATCCACCATGGACTGGACATTCAGTGGATATTGGGATGTTCAGTAGATATCCAAAGGATTTGGTGTGCTGTCTGGGCTGTAAGTTTAAATATTTAATAAAGAAATATTTTTATTATTAATGTTATAATGACAAAGCTCAACTTTGTCATTGTATACTGTTTTTTAGGATCCCCTATTATGTTGTTCCGTTTATGGAACTCACTGTATACATGATCTAAAATATAAACTATCATCAGCAATAAAAAACATTAAAAATATTTATTTAATTTTAATGATAAAACCAGATAATTTATATTTTAAACGAGGTTTAATCTAAATACTTTTTTATGTTAAATATGAAAATATTGGTTTATTTTTTCATTAGGTATATTTTGTTTTCATGTTCAAAATAAAAACTATTATTTCTTCAGTTTTACCATTGCTCAGGTTTTAATAAGTATACCCAGACAACACACCAAATCCCAGAGATATCCACAGAATATCTTTTGTGGATATCCAAATAAATCCACAGGATATCAGAAATATTCCGTGGATCTAATATGGATATCCAAATGTCCGTCTATATCCAGAATATAGAAAATATCCCTATGGATATCCAGCAAAATATCTAATGGGTATCTTCCAGACAATACAAGAAATCCCAGAAATATCCACAGAATATATTTTGTGGATATCCAACCAAATGTCCGTCTATATCCCAGGATATAGAAGAATTCGGATATTCAGCAAAATATTTTATGGATATCTTTAGTAGATGTTCATAAGTAACCAATGATTATTGAATAACGTCGAAAGAAAATAGCAGAGATAAAAAATATTTTCAACACTCAAAATATTTTCAACACTCTGCCTTTGATTTTGCCCACTAAGGAGAAAGTCATTCTTATTAGGACTCTTCAACAATAAATGGAAACCCTCGACTCCAGTCTCTAATGGAGTCTGACTGATCTACAAATTTCGATCGAACTCAATTACGGCGGGTTGAGCATGAGCACGAGCGAAAGTGGTATCGCCATCTATCCTTAGTAAGCAAAATCAAAAATTACATCTAGTGGATATCCACGATGGTTTGCGTTCGCGCCTAGACTTTGATATTTAGTGGATGTCCATGGGATATTGAATATACCTTAAAAAAATAATTTTAAATATCTGAACGGTACTATTAGCCACAATGGCGTAATTTTTTAATAATTTGCTATATAATTACTATTATTTATGGACATTTGCATGTCTATAAATTACATCTCATGGATATAAAATAGATATCCGCCATGGACTGGACATTCAGTGGATATTGGGATGTTCAGTAGATATCCAAAGGATTTGGTGTGCTGTCTGGGTAGATATAGATACTTTTTAAAATCTCAAATCTTCATTGTAAATTTAAATAAATATTCAATAAAGTAATATTTTTATTATTAATATTATATTCATAACAAAAAAAGTCATATTTTGTTTTCACTTCATTAAAAATGCACCTACCTACCTTCCTTCCTTTTAAAACATTTTATAATCTACCTGGTCAACATTTTCTCATTTAAAATGACCCAGCGAAATTGTTTTACGGTACGCTACTGCTGAAGATTCTAAAACGAGTGAGAAAGTCTTCATTAGAAAGAGAGAAACTGATTATATGATAGCGACATCTGCTATTATATTATCTAAGATGTTGACAGTGACTGTTGAAGTTTATGTGTTATGGTAACTATTGTGTTCTGTGGTTCAATATTTCTAATAATAAATTTCTATTACCTAGAAACGTGTTGAGAAATTTTAAATTGAATTCTTGAAAATAATATACCATGGATGAAATTAAGGAATCTAACAAAGGAAATAAGATAGATTTTGACTATATACTTAAACACTGTGATCAAAGTAATCATAACATACCATATTCTTTTGATAAAATTGTATGGAAAATTGGCGAAACATATAAAATTCGCATTGGTAATATCTACGACCCGTCCAAATTTTGGATTGTACATTACGAAAAAGAACTTACTGTATTCCATAAATTTATAAATAAGTTTTACAATGAAAGAGGTGAGGATTATCGCATGCCAAAAGAAGTTATTAAAAGAAACAGATATTGTACTGTATGTACTGATGGAGCTTATTATAGAGGAGTAATTGTAAATATACCAAGCTTCACAGATGTAGAACTAAAAGTTGTAGTATTTTTATTCGATTTTGGATTTACTACTACAGTCTCCCTAGAAGATGTGTTTTACCTCTATGAAAAATTGTACAAGATACCAAGATTTGCTATAAGAGCATGTTTAACAGGAATAGAACCTATCGATTCGGATACATGGACTAGTAAAGCTGTGGAAAAATTTAATGAGCTGACTATAGGAAAAGTTTTACTTTGTGTGCTAGAAAGTAGGGATGTCCAAATGAGGATCGCTTATATTAGAGTAGGAGAGGTGACACCTTATAATGAGGTTAGTTTCAATCTCTATACATCCAAACCCTGGTAATATTGCAATTGAAGGATCTGAAAATGCGCCTGTCTGCACCATTCCTGTTTCGGCTAGTTCTGACAGTTGGAATCATTACATAAAGTTGCCAGGTTATATTTAATTATTTGCAAGCAGGGAATAAGCAGATTGACATAACTATTTTACTTTTAATCATCTATTTACCAATTTTTACATCAATTAAAAATCCCATAAAAATTAAGAATGTTCTGAAAATTTTCAAGTAATACGATCGTTATTTTTAATGTCAATAATACCTTTCAATAATTTAGTGATAATTACAAAATTTAAAATCTATCAAAACTGTCTTATAAAACAAAATAGAATTGTTATTTCAAAATATAATATAAATCTTTATATTTATTTATCATACATTTTAATGTACAGAGGTACAATTTGTTTTTTGCAAAAATCAAGGTGCTCTGCTAGCTTCGAACGAAGTCAGCAGAGCACCTCAGTTTTTTAAAGCTCTTTTCCAAAACCAACGACACTATATTTTTAGGCTATTTTTATACCCTATTCAAAAATTTTATGCTCCTCATTTTTTGCAAAAAACGAGGAGCATAAAATTTTTGAATAGGGTATAAAAATAGCCTTAAAATAGCCCAAAAATGTGGCATATGTTTCAACTCAAAATTCCCGAGGTGCTTTGCTGCCTTCTTTGGCATTGAAAGTGGAGGTTTGGCAATGTGGATTATTGAAATTCTAGACTTCAGTGCAGAGTGGTGTGGACATGTGCATTTCTAGACCCATCAACTTCAACATTACCCAAACACCCCTATGTTAATAGGTCATTACATAAATAACAGGTGTGGATTCAGCACATGCATGCATGCATGCATGCAAACATTTGTGCTAAAGTGCTGCATAATAATAATAATAATAATAATAATTTAGTTAGTTTATGCCCTCTATTTTATGAGCTGATTCATTTAATTTAACATACAATTACATTTTACCAGAGAATTTGGGTAGGTAATGTCTGAAATGATTGTAAGCTAATCATGAATTATTGTAAGCATGTCTCTCTTATATTTAACAATATCTTTTTACCTGTGTAAACATAAAAACGGTTAGCAACGAAAAAAGTGGTGAATATAGAAACGATAGCAAGGGTAAAAAAATGGAATATATAAATGTGTATAAATATGAACCTATTGACCCATTTTTTATAGATGTGACTCAGGAGTGGTGCAAATACTCAATTTCGTCGCCTACAAGTAAAACCCATTAAATCAAATTTGATGAAAAATCAAACCGTTCAATAACTTATACAGGAAAACAAGCGATGCTTCTCAACGTCTGCATTCTAAACTCTTAAGTCCGCACAAAAGAATTCTGGTTTGGTAATCTATATTTTGCGATGGAAGCCTATGTTTATATAGATACTTCGAAAATTTAATTTGCACTCTTTCTAATTTATCAATATGACAATTGTAGTTAGGTGCCCAAATCACTGAGCAGTATTCTAAAATGCTTCTAACTAAGCAGTTGTAGAGATTCTTCAGAGCTGCCGTGTCGTAAATGTGCTTGGTATCCCTTTTGACAAAGCCCAGCAGTTGAAAAGCTTTATTTATAATGTCTTCCTAATGAGGAATAAACGATAGGTCCCTGTCAAAAATAACAGTAAGATCATTTATAGTATGCTCAACACTTATTTCAGAACCTGCAATGACATAATCATGCATAATGATATTAGCTATTTTATTGAACCTTACAACTTTACATTTATCGATATTCAGTCTAAGCAAATTATCGTTGCACCATTGAACCAAATTGCTGAGATCTGATTGTAAGTGATTGTTTGAAAGGTCAATTTCGCTAGATGTGAAACCACATAAATTCACTCTCTGACGACGTTCAGTTAAATTAGGTGCGAATAAACTCAAGGTAGTTTCCGTTAATGGCAACGCTGTCAAAAGTTTTAGACAGATCAGTGTAGATAGAGTCCACTTTTTTGCCATCCTCTATTGCAAATAAAAGAAACTGCTGATGCTCAGTAGAGATTAGTAGTTGCTGATCGCCCTTTGAAAAAGCCATGCTGTTGTGGTGCAATATAACGCCGAAAAGACATAAATATCTCATCTGTTAGGTATAACGCCCAAGCAGTTATTCAAGAATACTTCTAAGAAGACTGCAAAATAATGAAATTGCTTTAGTATTCATATGTTGGGCATTTCTTTTAATAAAGCCTAGCATCCGGAAAGCTAGACAAATAATGGAATCAATGTTTTCTCAAAAGGAAAATTCCATATCGAAGATCGCCCACTGATGTAACGTTCTGCTGCGCAGTATCGTCGATTTTGTATAAATTTAGAGAAGGGGTTGAAATTCTAGCGAACTGGATAGTCTTGCTTACTGGTATTTAATGAAAGATGGTCCACCTTGCACCACTCATTTAATCTGTCAAGATCAGTATTGTTATTTGTGACTGTGCTGAAAATTTAAAAAGCAGGAAGACATTTGTGATTATTTAACAAGATGTAATATACAATTTATCTTAGCAGAGGACTCTAATATTAATTTTGAAGAAAACAACTTTTGCAACCAGTTTTAAACATTTATTAAATATGTATGGAATCCAACAATCCATCAGAGAATGTACTAGAATTACTAGCTCAAGTTTAGTTGATTATATCCTTGGTAATTTTGATTTTCAAACAGAAGTACTATAGGTTCCAAAGTTAACAGGTCATTCATTAGTTACAGTCAATATGTTAAATAAAATAAATTTGACTTTCACAATCGTAAAAAGCTATCATGATGAGAAATATTAAACAAAATTAATGTAGGGAATTAATAACCAACAATTATTTAACAGAATGTGTTAATATAAACACTTTTTATACCGATTTTATCATCATTTCTAAATTGATATTTTTAACTGTGTAAGCAACTACTTAAAAGAAACAACTTTTTCAAATAACTCAAAAATTATTTTCATGCACATGAGCCATTTATATTTTCCAACAATCCCAAACTAACTGAAATCTATCACGTCATGAACTAACAACAAATTGAGATACCACTGCTTGAAATAAAAATGTAAACCAAAACGTTTATCAGCCATCTTTCACAGAGATTGTTCGACTTATTTTTGCTTTTTAAATTAGCTCCCTTTTTTGAGTTATTTAAAAAAGTTATTTGAAAAAAAAATCTTTTAAGTAGTTGTATACGCAGCTGATAAAAAAGTATCAACTTAGAAATCACCCTCTATATTGCTTGGCATTTTATATAATACTCTTCACACGTTAACTGACTCCCTCTTAACCCCCATTTTTTTTCTGATTTTTTTCTGAATCAATCCCCTTATAGATTTTTATATATTTTTCGGTTCCTTTGTCTCAATTCACGTGTTAGAGTTTAGAATAGGTATCCCTTGTATCTACACTACATGCACTTGTTAAAATTATGAATTAATGTTGATTTTGTTTGGTCTCGGAAGTAATTTTGCAGTATTTAGGCTCCATCCTTAAGTTGTAATTTTTATAACTACTAAACTATGTTTGCCCTTTTTTGTAATGTAGATTTTTCTCTTAAATTGAAAAATTATTTAATGAAGTGAAGTCCGTATCTGGAATGACCTACTATTAACATACGGGCTCTATACATAACTATAATAAATGTGTTTCAATAACTTGGCTAACTAGCGTCCTCTGTAACAAACATAATTTGAACAAAGCATAAACGAAAAATTTCTTTAAATTTATTGAAAATTAATATTAGGCACAAAAGGATTTTTTAAAATTATTTTTTACTTTTTTTTTAGATTAAAGAACTCAGTAACATTCTCTTGGAAGAAAAATTAGCCAAAGTGTCATCAGGAAGGAGACATAAAATTAAGAAATCTAAAGGGAAATTAATTTCAACAGTAAGATATCCTTTCCTTTTTCCCTCACACCAAGCATTAGAAAGTGGCCTAATGCCTTCTACAAGTTTTGTAGCAGATATGATAAAAGAGTGCCCAATACCTGCTTCTATATTATACAGACCCTATTTCAAATATCAATCTCCTTAGCAGATACCTAGTTTTTTATACTAATTTTAGACCATTGAGTTTTGATTTAAATAGCCCATTCTTGTCTTATTAGGCATTCCAAACAAAATGGTCGCCTGATGTCTGAGTTTATTGACGCACAAACCCCAATTTTACCAATGATATTATATAGACTGATCATCCATGTTTTTTAAAATACCTAATACCTTATAAGTAAAAATTAGGTAATTATTTTTTTAATATGTTCAAAAGCTAAAATTTGGTTTTAAAACAGGATGTAACACAAATATGTACAGTTAATTTAACCGCAGTTTTTGAGTTGGAAAAATAAATCAATTTAAGTTAACTTGCTTATATAAAAAATGGATAGTGTGATAGAAATTTTTGCTCTTGCTCTAAAATCGTTTGAGACATTTTTATGAAAATGTACATGGGATGTTAGTACACAGTAACCAATAAAATTGTTTTAATTCTATAGGTTTTTAGAAGGGTTCTACACCCTTTTTTGACTAGGCATGTACGTGAATTCCGACGGTACCACTAAATTTGGCCTATCGACCGAAACGTAGTTCCGGCCGGATTACAATTGCGATCCGGACAGAATTTATGAAAATTTTAAAATGGATCAATAAAACCAATCAAAAATAAATGTCGAAAAGCAATTGAATGCGATATATTAACAGGTCAAAACAGAACCATACCAGTTAATGATAAATCTCATTTATGCTGTTCAATACGACTTATTAACACCAGAAAAAGCACTATGGATTAAACAACCGATGTTCCAAATTAAATGCAGATGTCTGAGATTTTATAGATATTGTTAAAAGTTGTGAAAAATTTATTACAAGACATTCATTCAATATAAACGAGGCATATGCATTAAATGACATTAGTTATGTCTCTAATGATGCAAGATACTGCTCACCTTCAAGAAAAAAGAGAATGAAAAAATTACTTAAGCCAAATTATAAATTGAATTGAAGGTCTAGTAAGCAATAATGAATACAGAAGAAAATCAGACGACAGAAAAGGATCTAAAAGAATTCAAGTTAAATCAGGAGGAAATTTTAAATCATTAGCTAGGAACTGGATGAAACCTCACAAAAGCTTTGCTCTTGTGAAGACGATTTTAAACCCTAAGTTTAAAGTCATGCCTCATTTAACGTCTTTACAGTCCAGACTACTTTATTGACCATCATAATGGGCACTTTCTCAATATTTTTTAAATATTTGCTTTACACAAAAATAAGATTGTTACAGAATCTAAATTGTTGGCTCATTAAGCTCATAAGAAATGCACCATTTTCAAATGAGTTGAAACATTATGTTTATTATTATTGTTGTTTAGAACAGGCAAGCGACATAGTCGACGAAGCTGCTCCTTTAGTCAGTGACAAAAATTATTCTAAATCACTACATGACAGTTAAAACCCAATACATTATAATGAATAAAATTATTTTTTCTTTCTTCGAATTCTATATCCACTCTCGCCTTGAACTGGTATATGTTCTGGGCTGAGACTGTATATTGCTGGAGACCATTCTACAGATATACAATTCTGTTTATTACGAAATTTTTTCTTTGCAGTTGATTACACTTTTCTTTATTTAATTTCTTCGAGTGACCTCTCAAGGTTTTTGATGTGCTGGCCTGGAATATGTTATCACAGGTGTAATATCCGCTGGTTCACTTGTAAGTTTCTATTAAGTCTCCTCTAGTTCTTCTATCCTTTAAACTTGTAAGTTGTTTTTTAGGGTTGGTGGTATTTTGGCGACTCTCCTTTGTACTCTTTCCAACAGTTCAATGTCTTTCACAAAGTATGGATTCCAGACGGTCTGTGTAAATTGTATATACTTTGAGGATCATATCTTGGGAATGGTCTTTAAAAACTCTTTTGATAAGGTAAATAAGACTGTTGACTTTCTTAACTGTATAAGCAATGTGGGATTCCCATTTTAAGTCTTTAGACATGGTTACACCTAGATCCTCTTGTGTTTTGACTGGAGTAATTGCGTTTGTATCTAAGGTGTACTGCGTGGGGATTATTTGGGCCTATGTGCAATACTGTACACTTGTTTATGTTGCCATTGTTGGGATCAGATTCATATTTTATCCAAGTCTTGTTTCATTTTGTGAGAGCTTTCCATCGTCTGCATAAAAGTTGGCTTCGGACTCGATTTTGCATAAATCGCTGGTGTATAAAATAAATAACAGGTGACCCAAGACCGAGCCTTGTGGTACTCCACTTTGAACTGGATGGTTTTTTGACAGATGTCCGTTTATTCTTACGCAGAACTGCCGGTTGAATAAGAAGCTCTTAATCCACAATAATAGATAGCCTCTTATTCCAAAATATTCCAGTTTGCTAGGCAGTCTTCTATGTGGAACTTTATCAAAAGCTTCCTCATAATGATATATCACATCAGTTGGCTGGTTGTTGTCATTCCAAGCTGTCCACTGGTTAACTGCACTTAACTGGTTAAATGCATAAATCCATGCTGATTGCTTGGTAAAACTCTGTGTTCAATCATGAACTCGGTTACTTCTTTTGTAATAATCTTTTCCATTGCTTTACCAATACAGCTTGTAAGACTGACTGGTCGGTAGTTTATGGGATTATTTTTCTCACCTTTCCTGTATATAGGAGTGACTATAACTTGTTTCCAGTCTATTGGCAGTTCCTGTCTTTGCATTGAGTCATTCATAGCTGTCGTGAGGAGATTAAGATTAATAAAAGTTTGATAAGCAAAAGACAAGGAAAACATTTTGAACTTCAGTAAATTGAAAGTCATTATAAAGCAATAATTTTTATCCATCGAGATAGAATGAAGTAAAGACAAACACTATTTGGCGATAGCGGTGCCATGAGTGATGAAAAAGTGTAATCAAAATGGCGACCCGGAGTAGAACTTTGATTTATTTGAAGTCAATCATTTTATATTTTAAGACTGACGGAATGAACATAATGTTATATCATTTAAATGAAGCTATTTAAAAAAAATCTCACCAAAACTGACTAGCTCGAGTTTGACACATGACGTAAATGTGTGATGCGAAGGTGTGGATACTTTTAGTCTCGATGCTTTTACTAACAGTTCTAAAGCCATGTTTGCAATAATGTGGAACAGCATAAATCAAGGTCTTTTTACCACAGGGGGTCGATTCTCGACTTGTAGGAACCTTTTCCTATAGGAATTTGTGACACTTTCCTATATGTAGGAAAATGTCATAAATTTTCGATGTACATAAAAATGTCAAAAATTCCTATAGGAAAATATTCCTACGAGTCGAGAATCGACCCTCCAGGTGGTTCAGAAAAATAGTAGCTCTCACGAAGCTCATTCTCAGGCTTTAGCTTTGTCAATGTTTAATTTTGAGCTCATTTTGTTGAATTGTTTGATGATTTTGTAAAGTAATCTGTATTTGTTTTTGGACTGTTGCCCGCTTTATAAATATTTTGGTATAGAACTGCAAAATTTGCGGAAATTACGGAATTTTAGATAGATATAATTTGTAAAATAACGTTAAGCTGTTGGAATACTTCCGTATAGGTACTGACCCGGCCGGAATTCCGGCGGGTCTGTCCGGCTAGAAGCAGGAATTTCGGTTTCGCCCGGATCGGCTAATACTCGATCCAGTACATCCCTACTTTTGACTCCCCTAATTTTATTAGACAATGAAATTCAGTTAAAAACGACGCCACTAAAATCTTACATCTATTTTGAGTTTTATTTGTTTCCTAGTATTCGCTCATTACGAAGTCATGGTAGAGGAAGCAAAAGCAATAATGGCGCAATCTACGGATAATTCGAGCATTTTAGGGCGATATTTTGTAATTTTGACGTATCAAATACACGTATATTTTACTTTTTTATCAAAAAAGTAGGTAAAAACAATACAATAAGCAACCGTGTGCTGTGTTGAAAATTGTAAAAATACTAGCAAAAAACTGTAAATTATAAAAATGTTTAGTAGCAAAGTGGAAATTAAATCAAAACAATAAATGGATAGCTGTACAATAAGAAGAAAAAGTACCTTTATTTTTGTAATAATTTAAATATACAATAAATTATAATTTTACGATGTTTTCAACATCCCATTAATCTTAAATGTTCAGCAAGTACTAGATTTCTGCCTTTGATTATTGTGGCTGGAATGCAATTTTGTGACTTACTGATAGGAAACCAGTTTTAATCAATCATTCTGTTTTCTTTCGAACAAAAATCAAGAAATTATAAATAACAATCCTTTAACACGTTGCATGCTAAAAGTCTAATGATATGCTATTGATAGGTGCTGAAGAGTATTTTCTGAAAACAGTTATAACTGCGAATGATTTCTTGTTGGCAGAATAAATTTGGAAAGTTTTTGATACATTTTGTTTTTCTAACGCTTGGCGCTGATAGGCGTCGTCAGCACTGGATCATTATTGTTTGTTCCATATGCTAAGTGACGCACATGTACGTCTTTCATTTTTAAATTGCAGAAAGTCATTATTGTTAAAAAACATTTAATGGAAAGTAAAAAAAAAACTTTATACATATTTGATTGTTTTTACATCGCCAAACAATTTTAATCGACTTCAATCATTTGCTATGTGTGTTATAACGTGATGATACGATTTTTTCAATTTTATAAATGGAATATCCTATTTAATTAATTAATTGGTGGTATAACATACATGGTATTCCATTTAAAAAATGAGAAAATCGTAACCTCGCGTTTTTCCTTTGCCACACTCTATATACAACATGGCAAATGAATGAAGTCAATTAAAATTGTTTGACGATGTGAAAACAATCAAATATGTATAACACCTGTAGGGTAATTTGCTTTAAAAAAGTATAGGTTTGGTCAACTCCGTATATTTAAGAATAATTCTTAAATATAGTCATACAACTTTTATATATATTTTTTCGTATTTCCAATAATAAAACAGCTATCGATTAATTACGCACTGAAGGGACGCTCTGTATATGTGTTATTGGTGAATTTTATGCTAAAATAATATACAGGGTGTTGAATTTAAAAAATTGAGTAAATTGAACTTAAAATTGACCATTTTTGAGACGTGTTTCAAAACACTCTGTATAAAATAAATCAGTTTTACCGTATTTATTCGTTACCTTGTTACCTTGTAAGTCTATTTTAAACAATTTAAAAATCATTATAAAGCTACTTAAATTATGATAATTTAATTTCCAATTTCATAAAAAAATTAATTGCTAGGCAACCCTATAATATTTTTTAAAAACATTCTAGTGTTAAATACGGTATCACTATTTTAAAAATAAAATAAAGGGTGTTTTACTTAAAAAATATACATTTTTAATTATCAGTCAAGAATGTTTTTAAAATATGTACTTTGCAAATGCATATACATTTTATTTCAAACTTGTTTGCGTGTCTATACCACAAATTGAAATTACGCACTAATGGGACACCCTGTAGTCTACCCTTTAGCCTCAAACGTACATTATATTATATTTTGAGTATATTATAATATTACAAATATTTAACAGTTAAGAAAACTAGGGCCAGTAAGCCTGTTGGAGTTTTGATGTATTAATAAATATGCAAAATAAAAAAGTTTAATAACAAAACATAGAGAAAGGCTAATACAGAAAATTATTTTTTGTGTGTGAGGAAAGGTTTCTGAGAACTGCTTGATAGAGTAACAGATAGTTCCCTCTACAAACTCTTCCAAAAAGTAAACTTTTATACGCAAGGGTAGTTATGTCAAACACTAAAAAACATAGGTATTCTAAAAACTCACATGTGCGTCATCAGCATTTGACTGAATCAACATTTTGACGCTCATATGCTTGATTAGCATGCAACGTGTTAATAGTATTTTTATTTTGACAGAATAAGTTAATTCTTCAAAGACAACTTATTAACCTTAGA